CGGGCATGTAACTCTCTTATTCAGTCTAAATCAATGTCACAACATTGAGACGAGACAGTTCCCCGTTTGCTCGCCTTTCAAGCATTGAGGCTACTGAGTCGCCTTTGCAAAACGTTTTGGTTTACAGTATACATGTTAAACTGCACAAATCTTACAGCAAAGTAAGGTGACAGAATCTGTAATAGAGTTTGAGGACTCTGTATGTCCTAGATTACGTAAAGAGTTTAAACAAAACGACTCAGATGACTCAAAATTCAATTTATTAAACTACATGAGGGATCAAATTAATCTAAATGTCAATACCCTCGCTGGTGTCTGGGCAGAGTATCCCTTTAGTTCCTTTAAGGTGTCACGACATGATACAGTATATTTGTATTTCCAGAAGGCGTTTGGAAGGGTTCCCACACAAGCGTCAACCGAAAGCACCCTCTGTCAATTCATGATGTAATCATATATAAGATTGAGTGTCAGACACTAACTATTTTATTTTTTCTGGTTGATCCAAATCTGAAACCTAATCGATAAGATTACTTCACCAATCGCTCACCGAGTGGGATTTTCCGCCAAATGTATTGCGTTTGAAAGCCTCGTGTTTGCAACGTTTCCAAAGCGCACACGGCCAACTCCATGATCCAATCCGCGCTTTAGACATTTTTCAATAATTAGAGGCCACTAAGCCAGGTTTGATTAATCTTGTATCAGGCTTCAATTAGTGTCCTTTAAAAACTCCTCGATTGCGTCTTTGCCTTTAAATAGAGGGTTTACGGAGAAAGGAGAGAGGCTGTGGAGAGGAGGATTTCGACCGAAGACGTCTGAAGTGGGATTTTTCTCCTAATGGGTGTGGGAGACGCTTGTTAAAACTGAAGCATCAACTTCCGTCCTTTATAAAAGTAAATGTTTCTGTTACTTGTCCAGATTTCTCCGCCGTGTTTTGAAGACAAGCTGGGTTAAGCGCAGTTGAGTCTCTCCATCCCCCCCCTGAGCGGTTGAAGCACCTGGACGCCGACCTGCGGTGTGGCGAGTGACTGGGAACAGACCTGCGGGGAATCCGAAGAGAGGTGAATACTGCCAGGCTGGAGATGAGAAGGTACGTTTTGCATTTGTATTAACCCAAAGCTACAGGGACCGGTGGTATTTGAATCCGTGCAAAGGCTTATATTCGCATTGGGAGCGCTGCTGGTCGTTTGACCCGAGCTGTGAAACGTTAAATAAAACTGATAGCTGGTGTGTGGTGAGTGTATTCGTGCCGCACTATGGCTGCCGTCGCATCATCCAGGTGAGGCTGCACACTGGTGGTGGAGGAGAGGAGTCCGCGTTACATGTAATGCACTTCCCTAGATACTCCATTCAAAGCGCAGTATAAGTGTAAGGAATTCCTATTGAGTGAATTTACGAGTAACTTACCACGGGAAAGACGGGTGTAAAGAGCACAGAACCCTCGAGATGGGGTGGGGGGAGATTAAACCCTTGCATGATTTTCAAAAGCGTGTTGCTTTGTCTGCTGCGAAAAGTCACTTTTTTTTTTTGTGGGAAGGGCCGTTTCTCAAAGCAGGTAAGGAAGGCCCAACCTGGAGGGCACAGAGCTGCCAACGGGACTCCAAGTCCACGGCGTCTCGTCTCCCCAGGGCTCCGGCGGGAGGCCCACCTGTAGCCACAGCCACGGCGCCGGACATCAATAAATGTGGCTAATAAAAGTCGAAGGATGGTTTTTTTTTTTTTCTGCAACAAAACTGTACTTTTGAGTGCTTACTTCGAAAGCGTGTATAAGGAGGGGGGGTATAAACTACTGCAACAGGGGAGATTCTAAAACGTTAAGAACTGCCGCAGCTGTCCTAAATCTACTGCCCGTTTTGAATTAATCTCTGTGTAACTTTCAGGGGTAGTTAATAAGACTTTTTCCTTTTGCTTTGCATTCTTCCCTTTTCGCCTTGGTTTCCTCTCTTTACTAGTTTCTAGCCACTATCCTTAAACTTATTTCCTTTCCTCTTGCGGGAGATAATGTTCGCTACCTCTTATAACCCCCTCCGTTAAAACGCCAGCAAGAATCAGATCTCCGCAACTCTAACTAAAGAAAGGGGAGAAGCGACGGTTTGTTTCAGTCCTTCTTTCTCTAAATGTAAGAACTGACTTACTATTTAAAAACAAAAAGAGGCAACATCCCACTTGTAACTGAAACAACGTTTCCATAGGTAAATAAGACTTAATATTACTAATTGTGCCGTTACATAAGACGAATTTAAGGCGTTTTCCTAGATAATATTAAGGATGTCGAGTAGTAAGTGTAAGGAGCGCCGAGAGTTTCTCCAGAACCAGATTTTATTCGCCGCAAACGAACGGCCGACCCGCGCGAAGAGACGGTTAGTTTCCTCGCTTATTTAAACCAAGCGCGCGAGCTGGGAACCGTTAATCTGTCCACCCTCTCCCTAGCGCAGGACAGCCCGAACTGGACTGGTTCAGCTTCACCACAGCGTGACTCGAACCTTGTCTCCGGTACCTGACTGGGTTGGAGAGGGGCCACCCTCGCTTGGCAAAACTCCATTGTTCCCATCACAGTGGCTCATGTAACAAAAAGTGCTACTTTTAGTACCTCATACCCCTGCTTAAGCCACACAATTTAAGTAGTGGTTAGCTGTTTACATTTATCTATTCTACATTTGAGCAGTCAGCTAAAATCACAGTGCATTTGACAGCACAGCACTCTCCAAAGCCCATGCATGAGCAGAAAGCAGGGGCCTACAGTATGTGTAAAATAGTCATGGAGCAGCAGTACAACACCTTTAATTGAACCTGTTTCACAGCAGAGGTAACTTCCTACTTTCCAGCACTGAATCTCATTCCATATCTCATTAGGCAATAAATGTACAGAGACTAAGCCACTCTTGTAAACTGAAGAGATCTTAACGGTCTTAAAAAAAGACTTTCATGATCTTCATGTTTTACATCTATTATCGCCTAAAAAAATAAGGGAATGAGCTTTTGAAATATTAAAGTAGAATCTATCTCTACAGTAAATCTCACCCTGAAAGCACAAATAAAATAACTTAAGGCAACTTGACCAGAAAGAGGTGGAAAATGAATCTGTCCCCTTCTCCTATTGTTACGTACACAAACAATAGAACTCGGAGTGAGGGAGCATTTGAAATTTAATCTAGAAATAAATATTTCTGAAGGGGAAGTCATAAGCAAAACCATTCTTTATATAACCCCCTCCTTTTAACTAGAAACACAACACAAGGCATTTTGTTTCGTGAAAAAAGCTTTGCAGATTGTTCATTAAGGGTTAGTTTATTGCTTCGTGTCCAGACCTGTGTATTTTTAAAAACAAAATGTATATCTACTGATACAATGTTCACTACATACATTGTATCTACATACTGATACATGTTCACCTGCTCCCTAACACTTGTATCTTTTTCACTTCAACAGTTATTCAGGATGTTATGTTTAGGAATGCTCTGTTAAGTGTCCTAAAAGGCTATTCCCTGCATCAGTGCCTCTTACCCACATGACCCAGTGCTGCTCAAGACCACCTCATCCTCTGGGCTGAAGGCCTGGGGTTGATGCAGAAGCATGTGTTGACTGTCCAGATGGTCTTCACGATCCTCCCAGCTCAGGGGCTGAGACTGAAGGCCTCTCAACACTGTTGAGAATTGAGAAATCACATTATTTTTCCCATCAATAAAACTTCAACATTTTTCACTACACAACCTGGCTGCTTACACGGGATACTGCTAACGAGTATCATTTAAATCAGTTTGATGTCCCAGAAATTAAGGCAGAAACCAAACTTGAAATCTGATTCACAGCAATCACCGGTTCTTTTTCAAGAGACTTTGTAAAAGAGTGCAAAGCCCTGACTACAGTGATCAGTGTAGGATCTTGAATGTGATCTTTGTTCTTGTAAAAGATGGCATCAGGTAAATGTAAAGAGACACTAGAAATTCATACGTATTGTATGCGTTTGGTTTTAAAACCAGAGGCAAAGTCTGAAATAAATCAATTAGTTATAAATTACACAATGTTTCAAAACTCATTAAAAAAACTCCTATGTGAAGACACTGGTGAGATAAGTTTTACAGTGCTATCACAAGTATTCACCTCCCTTGACCTTTTCTACATTTTATTGTCTTACCATATGGAATCATAATATATTTAATTCAGGTTAAATATACTTACCTACATGTGAGTAGTACAGGTCTCAATAAAAACTACATCATGGAGGTAAAGGAACAAAGCAAATCTGGGATGAGGTTATTGAAAAGCAATCAGAGGAAGAGTACAAGAACATTTCCAAAGCATTGAATATCCCCCTCAAAGGACAGTAAAGTCCATTGTAAAGAAATAGAGAAAATATGGCACAGCTGTGAATCTGTGTAGAACAGGGCATCCCCAAAAAGTGTCTAGTCAAAAAGGCACTAGTCAGGGAGACAACTCTAAACGAATTCGAGTTTTCCATGGCTGAGGTGCGGCAAACTGTACTAATATGACAATTGCCTGGGAGCTTCACAAATCTGGTCAACAAAAAGCCAATGTTGAACAAAATTACATCCAATCTCAACTACAGTTTTCCAGAAGGCATGTGGGAGAATTTGAGACCAAATGCAAGAAGATTCTATGGTCTGATGAGGTCAAAACGGACTATGTTTGGTCCAAGCATAGCACCACACATCAGAGAGAACCATCCCTACCGTGAATAACAGTGCTGGCAGGATCATGGTGCGGGGATACTTTGCTGCTTAAGAACCTGGAAGAACAAGGCAAAGTGCAGAGAATTCCTGGAGAAAACCTGCTGCAGTCCGCAAGAGACCTGGAACGTGCGAGAAGATTCATCTTCCAGCAGGACAATGACCCAGAAACATACAGCCAAAGTATTGGAGTGGCTTAAAAAAGTCAATGTCCAGGAGTGGCCGAAAATCACTCTTCGCCAATGGAGCCCATCCAACCTGAAGGAGCTTGAGCAATTCTGCAAAGAAGAATGGGCAAACATTAAAGTGTCCAGTTGTGCACAGCTAGTAAAGACCTATCCAAACCGACTCATGACTGGAATTGCCAATGGTGTCTCTACCAAATATTGACTCAAGAGAGGTGAATACTTGTGCAATTATTTCTTGCGGTTTTAGATTTCAAATTAATTTAGGATAATATGTATAATTTTGTTTTCACTTTGGCATTATAGGGTCAAATCAATGTGTCTAATAATGGCACAAACTCCAACTTTAACACATGTTATAGTGTTACAATAAGGAATTATAATGTACTTAATTGCAAGGGGTGAAATACAGGGCCACTGCATTTTATTAATTACACTTTTCGTTTAAGACCACTGTTAATCACTGAATATAATTGTTTACTACATTGTTTAAACAGCCTTGATATTCCAAATGCCTGCTCTTGTTTGTAACCATTATATTGTTCTTTGGTAGAGACACAGCAGTAATATAAGTTCTTTATTATGCCACCTATGGCTCCATTTTCAAACAGTAATTGTAAAGGTGTGAATTATGCAAGGCAGAAAAAAAACCTTTCCCATTTCCTCTAAATCTTTTGTGCTGTTATGCAGCAGTTTAGTCAACAGTAAATTTAAAAAAAAAACCTTATATTATATTGGGACGGATAAACTTTTAATACTGCATGTCTTCAAACGCATCTGAGAAATGACACTGCAAACAAGCTCTGACTGAATTTCACTGTGCTGGGAAGCAAGTAAAACAAAGATAAAAAAACAACCAATACTGAACAATTTTAAACACAATTTAAAACATCTTCCAAAAGACTGTGTATGAATATAATGCATACATTGTGTTCCCGCCACTGCAGATGTTAATGTCACACATTTCAAGATTACATTTTAATGTGTGCATTTTAAATAAATAAGATAACTATTCCTCCTCCTGCTTTCCAACTGCACAGTAACCTAGACCCCACAAATCCACACCTTTGTGTCACCTCCTGCAGGCACAGCAAAGAGACCCACTCTGCTACAACAAGCAATACTGAAGGTGAGCTTCTAATCCAGTTTAATTCACAGTAATGGGGATTCTTCCAAAGTTTTGTTTTCTTACGTTTTTACATGGTACTGTTTCCTACATTATAGTACTTATGGATTTATTTCCAGTGTTTGTGAAAGGTGTTGATTCTACAGAAAAAAAATACTTTGACCATTTCCAGTAACAGTTTAATATAATACTGTACCTCGGACAATGGTAATTCAAACAATAAGTAAAATAAATATTTAAAATGCAATTTGTTATATTAGTAAAGACAAACCTGTAACTTTCTTCCAATGAACCTGAAAAATGACACTGCAAGCAGGCAGCAGTGGTGACACAGTGCTCCAGGCTGGGTGCTGGCTGTTTTCCGCTGTGCTGGGAATTGTACAGGTTTCAGTGCTCGCTGGGATCAGTGCTCTGATGTGTTTGAATCTAACCTATCAAACCCTGCTGCTGTGTCAGAGCCAGCCGGCAGAGGACATGAGTGAGGTGACTGCAATGTTGAAGCTGTGACAGAACCCTGTACTGTACAACACGGGGTGTGTCCTGGGAGAGCAGAGATAATCCTACCTGTATTTTGTACTCTTCCACCAGCCGGCAGTCCTGACACTTTCCTCTGTCCAAGGGGCCCAAAGTACAGGATGTTTCCACAAGAGAGGAGATCTTCAAGTCTGAAAGCAAAAGACAATGCACATATTCTCAATTATACCACTGCGAAGAGACTTGTCATAAGAAATTGATCACGGTCACAGATATAGGGATTTATTTATCTCACCTAACGTGTTGTGCATGAATCTGTGGCGAGGCCAGGCACAAAAGTAATCTTCCCGGTGAGAGATATTTGTGGGACCCAGCTGGGTCCACACCACCCCAGTCATACCTAGCCAGTTGGGAAAACGGCGTCAGACTGTTTGAAGAAGAAGGCTGAGTTTGAGGCAGTGGAAGAGCAAACTCAAGAGAATAATCTAATAACAGATTTAACTTGCTTTGTTCTGGCCAAGTATCATTTACTCAAGTCTAAGTCAAATCTTCACAAGAAGTAACACGATTGCAAACTCATCTCAAAAGGGTGTAACACATATAAAACATTTATAAAGTATTTAATGAAACACTTGAAGAGGTTGTAATCCAGAAATGTTATAACTTATCAACAATGGGATATCGAAATATATATATTATGACATGTTCTGCAGGAATTGTCTCTTGCCATTTTCTATACAGGCAGAATTATATACTTGTAGGAAAATGCAAACTATAAGCTTAAATACTCATGATCCAACAAATTGCTAGGTAAATCTTAGTTATGTAAGCTGTCAAATAAAACAATGAGAAATACTGTACTTCTCAGATGTAAGGGACATCCAGGACAAAGTGCCTTCAAAAACATAATTCATATGCCTTTATGTGACATGTTTAAAAGCAAATTAGTACATTGTACATTGGAGAGAAGCAGAAAAAGGAGCTGCCAATGTACTAGAACCCAAAGGGAAGCCTGTCAACTACTAGCTCACCAACACCACTTACAGAAGCAACCATTAAAGTTGTTATAATGTGCTCTCCTCTGCAGGAGTCAAGGAATGCACACAGTGGAACCTCATAGTAAAGGAAAGTGTCAAAAGTATCCATTTCGCAAGATGACGTACCTGACTAGACAATAGGTATAAATGTCCCAGAGTCTGTGATGTCAGTGAACCAATCTAAGAGGCAAGAAATGAGAAGGTACATCCTAAAACCATTCTGATCGCAGCTTCGGGTGACTGTGACGTGCACTGCCAGAGAAATTCAAAAGGAGACTGGAGAAGAAAAAAGTTTGATAAGAGTACACTTGCCAAGTGAGAATTAACATTAGAAAGGTAGAAGCTATATGGAAAGTCTCAGTCCTCCGCAGGCTGGACTAGTATTCAAAGACTCCCTTGAAAGCTGGAATGCCAGACAAGTGCATTCATGAGAACGCCGGAGATAAAATAAAGGTTTAACTGTTTTGTAACAAATTTTCAAGCCGCACTGAATAAGAACAGTCGATTTTTCCTCCTGGAGTAAATGTGACCTTTTCAGAAGCCCTGAATTTCCAGCGCGCCGCTACATGAACTCAAGGGAGACGCTGTTACTCTTAATTGCCGTCAGGTGATGTAGCCCACACAGAGCGGTAGTCACGTATACAGTCTCTATATACAGCTCTGGAGACGTCTGGTTACAGAGCTGATGTCTCGCTCCTGTTGGTCAAACCAGGGTACCAGTGAGTTGCCCAACAGACTTGACGAGGCTGTGGAAGCAGAGCGGTGTCAATTCCAAGTTTTGATGAAACACCACCACCAAAACACATTGCAGAGAGAAGGATAGTTTACAAATATGACCTGAACTATTATATATTTCAGCCAGACCAGCTGAAAATGTGTTTACATGCACAAGAGCCTCTCCTGTAAGTTTTAGCTGGCTGCTTTTAAATGTGTGAAGTTGCACCACATTACAGCGAACACGAACAGCGGGACTACAGGTTAAAAAGCAAGGAGAAAAGTTTAAAATCCGTTTCTCACGATTCGGGGTCCAATTTAATACTTGCCTTCCTTTGGCACGGAAGAGGTTTGAACATGCCAAGCAGAATTTATGGGAAAATGATATTTACCAATTATTCGGCGAAACAACAATTTATGGCTCTGCTCACCAAGGTTGTTTATTAATATTAATTTTAATAGGCTTTGATGTGACGTCATGATATCACGGACTCCCATTGGCTGGTGAGCTTTGTATTTATATAAGCTCCGCCCCCTCGTAATTGCTTCCGAAGGTTCTCCAACAATGAAGACGTTTGGTTTTATTGATTTTCTCATATTTTTCCCTACTTTTGGATGTATTAGCTTGAAAACTGAGGTTGTCACCTTAACAGTGACAAATATGGACGCTTTTAACTTTTTACGAGTGAGTAAAAAGCTATATCTTACAGTTTTTCCTGCTCTGTCGTGCTTGCATGCCGATTTGCAAGATGGCGGCGGAAACACCCCTCAATTGCGTCTAAGTAGCTCTTTAACAGCGGTGAGCTACTTTGTATTTTAATTTGGCACACGAACGCTTTTTTGTTTTGGTTTTATATGTTTTTTTAAATCAAACAGCAATTTTGCAAGCTAGTACTACTGGCTCAGCCGAGCCGAAGACACCGTTTTCAATAAAATAGATGGAATACGTTTAAAAAACACCATGTTCGCTCTGTGCCGAATTAAAATAAAGTTCAATTATTGTGCATTATTTCAGGATTATTTGTACTTTGTGGGGGGAATTTATTCAAATAACTTTACTCGATTCACCTCATTTAAAATGTTTTAGTAGGAATTAAGGCAGCAAATAAATAGGTCAGTTAACTTTACTACAAACGTTAATTTAAATAATACTATTTAATACCTAGTACTTTTCAGGGGTGGTCTCTAGTTTGCTTGATTTTACATACACCACCTTATGGATAATGCAACACAACACCCACGTATTAAATATGAAGCGGTCTTTAGCAATATTGACCACACCCTTCATGAATATGTAGATTTCCGACTCCCCCCACCCCTCCCCAACCCAAATATTTTATTTTAATGGATTTTGTTAATAAATGTTACTAGGAGAATAGAAAAAAAAGCCGTTAGGATTTTTTATTAAGAGTTGTGGTGTACAAACCAAAGACTGTTGCAATGCACAGCAAAGCGTACAAACCAGAACTGGTCACAGGAGAAAAACAGTTGTCGGGCACATTTCAGAATCGTTTCGTGATCGTTTCGTCTGTCCCATTGCAGGGGGTTCAGCGTGGAGTGCGCTCTGTCCCGGCGGCAGGAGAGGAGACCGGGAGTCCTGGAAAAATAAAGACAGGTAAGAGCGTCACACTGGGGAGACGGACAAGCGGTGGAGTCCCAGTAAATTACAGCGGAGAACATGGTGTAGGATTTCCAGTGTTATAGAGAGGATTTTTTTAGTACAGGCGTAGTTCGCTCGGCAACTGAATTGTGAAGATCATAATCGCGCAGAACGAGGGGTTATAAACACATCATCAAGCATCCACGGACGCGAAAACTAAAGTGAAAACTAATAAATGTGCTTCTAACGGGAAAGCAAAACTCAAGTTTAACTTAATCCTCTGTTTGTTACCATTTAAATAAAAAAAACTTTAGTTATTTATTTATAGTAAAAAATGTTATTATTTATAAAACTAAACTCTTTATTTATAGCATACTGTTTATTTACATTATAAAAGTTATTTATTTGTAGTAACTACTGTTACTATTTAAATCAAAGTCAATGGTAATACACTTAAGATTTCATATTCTGCTGTTGGAGCAATATATACACACACACACATACATTTTAACGATTCAAAACTTAACAAGCGTCAGTGTATTTAATGATATCGAGCGCTGCAGGGCTGAACGCGACGTGGTATTCACCCGCTTCGTGGTGTGGAAGGATTGGCTCTGTGGTTTTTGATATGTTAATTCTATAAAGAATTAGGATGAAATAGTGTTGCACTAAACGACGCATAGCTCTACAATACGAAAGTGACACTTGTCCCAGTGCACTGTTGGGCTGCTGAGCCCTACATGACAAAGGTAATATTAAAACACTAATAAATGTTCCATACTAGTCATAAGGAAAAATGGTGCTTTATTTGTTTTATTCCCTTTGCAGGCATGAAACTTGTATTGAGATAAATAAGTATAAAGCACACTTTACTGTTATTCAAACATACTGTATTAGCATAAAATGCATATAACGCACATTACAATAAAATGTTGCCTTTTTCAGTATCACAAATGCAAATTGCTTAACTGTAGTTTGAACTGTTCTAGTCCTCAGTAATCCGCTTAAGCACAAGTGTATTAATTCCAAGGTAAATAATAGAATTTTATGTTTTTCAATTCAACAAGATAGATCCTAGCAACAACTTAGTTATCTATACATGTCAAATGAAAAACATGCATTTTCAGTTTGGTCCCATAATATCCATACACTTTGACAGGAGGTGTTTCATGAAGTCAATCAAATGAGTGATTAATTCATGAGAATTCTTTATGCTATTTAAAACAGGTTGTTGGAACCATGCGTTTCGAGACATTTGTTTTAAATAAATTTCTGTGTGAACTAGTTTATGGTTGCATATCCCATTGAAGCAAAAACGTCATGAAGTTTATGATCCATTGAGCTTACCAAAGTTTGTTAAAAATGTAACTCTGCTTGACATTTGTCGATTTGAAATGTAAAATATTAAGCCCTGGCTGTATGTTTTTGGGTAACTATCAAGGTGCCTTTCGAGATGCCATCCAAAAAACATGTAAATATTTTTGTCTACAAATCATTTTGTCTGCCTATGTTAACTTTAACGTACCAATAATTCCAAGAACAATAAAAAGGAGGCAGCCAGTTCCAGAGGCGGCCATGAATGACCCGGCCATGATGTTACCTCCATCAGGCTTCAGTGCAAAGATGAGGTAGTAGAGTTTGGAGCAAAGGTTCATGGACAGAGATGACCAAGGTACACCATTACTTGGGTGATGGAAATGTGGAAAGGATGGAAATGCAGATAGTCCAAGGAACACCACCTCATCTGTGAAACATGGCCTGGCATGAGGTTTTCTAACCTTAAGTTCTATGTGAGGGCAATGAACTTCATGCAGTTCTTGCCTTACATGTTAAGTATTTAGTTGCACATCCCTGTGTCTCAATACTCATATTTCTTTCAATTTCCTGGGTTGAATGCACAATGTAATTTTTCTGAGATTATCTAATGTATGCATGAAATTACCCAAAAGTAAAATGTAGGGTACATGGTATTAATTGGTATTAATCTCTTGATCACAAATACAGATTGCTTGATGATAAAGAGAATAGTTTAGACTTGGCTGGTACAGGACTTTTGCAGGACACTGTATAGTGCTCTGTTAGCCCCTTCTCTCAGGCCTGTTCATTTCCGGGCAAAAAAGGAAATCAACTTATGACAAAACTCATTTTTACATATAGCCTCCAGATGAGTTTTCTCAGTTGAACAATACACTCTGATAGGAGAGGTTTGATGGACAGGGCCAATCAAAATAATGTATTTGTGCCATAATGTAAGAATTCTTTCTGCTGTTTATACCTTAAGAAAAATGATCGTGAGTCATGAGTGAAGGGTGATTAGCTAAAGAATTTGAGCACTTATGTTAATGTAGTTAGTGTCAAACAGCCTCAGCATGTTAAGGTAACCATTCTGAACAGATTGCTTTGGCTGTGGAGCATGCTTCATAGATACAGTAGATTCTCTTTGTCCTTTCAGTATGGGGGTTAACATCCACTTGTTCCCTATTTTTACAAGGGGTGTGATTGTTTGTAAAAGAGCATGAATGGTTATTTGATGTCTCTATCTGCAGCCTCCCCAGTCCACTCCATCATAGTTAAATTAAAACCAGCTCCATTGAATTATTGTCAGAATTAATGGTAATTAATGGCTCGGTTGCATTATATGACTGCAGTGGAGAGGACTGGAAAGTCAGCGTGAGTATCTTGGACTTAACAAGCTTTTGAAATGAGGTGTTGCCTTGCACAATTTAAGAACACGTGGGACATATGAAGATTAATAAAGTGTCCCATTGAAACAGTGCGATATTTCGAACGGGCTGTTTGGAAGTTTGCGCGTTAAAAGCTGGGCACTGCCAATTCCGAGATCCGCACCCGTTTGGCGTTTCTTAATTGTTAGACAGGTGTTGAACATCTACCATTAGATTTGAATAAATTGCCGTTCATCAGTATTAGCTAAACGATAGCTCTTTAAAATAGCGAGTTTGCAAACACAGGAAAGTTCAGGAAGAAACAAGGTGTCAAAAGTGAGCCTATAGCTTTTGTGCTTGATAAATTAAAACTTGCAACTTACCCATTTTAGCTGTACAATATTCATTTACTCGGTTCAGTTAGAGGCTCCAGTCTCTGGGCTTTAAAAGGCGGCTGTAGGAAATTCCACGGCTTGGGGGACCGGAGCGGAGACCGACCCGTGTGCCGAGGTGAGTCCGAGTCTCTTCTTCCTGGAGGCCAAGAGAGGTAAACGGAGTTTAAAGCCAGGTTTCTAACAGGGCTGCAAACCACTCTCACGGGAACGTCGGCATTTTATTGCTACGGTGAGAATAGGCTTGGACACGACATCCTAATTCTAACCGACCCCTCTGTCCAAGTCTTGATTTTGGAGCGGTGTGGGACTGTGACGCTGCGGGACCGGAGCGGCTGGATTGCGTTTCTTCAGGACGGTGTGTATTTAGACTTGCCTGCTGCTCCGGTTTATTTTAACGAGGGGAAAACCTGCAATTTACCGCAGGAAACTGCAGCCAGGCTTGGTGCAACGCGATGAGAAAGTTTAAACTCTCGGTGTGACGAGAAATATTTAAAAACGAACCACTTTGCAATCGGACCCCGTGTTGCTCCTTTCCCACTGTTAGGATTCAAGATAGAGAGACTTTCATTTGCTTAGAATTGTTTTTCTCCAGAGAAGACTAAGAGGTTAATCGTCTTTTTAAAAAAAATGCTTAATGCTTTTTCTGTGCTTTGAATCTACAGCCGAGCAAGACGCTTCTTCTACCTGGAGAGCAGCGATATACCAACGGGACACCGGCCTCACCTCCTTTTTCCTCTTTCCGGGACCCCAGTCTGCACGGGCTTTTTTTGGGGGGTGGTCTGAACCGCCCCCATTTATAACCTGAATCCTGGCGAGCGAAAAGGAGGAAAAAAGGTATCTGAGAAATGTGAACCACGTGACACTTTATCAACGTACCAACGTTTCTGTAATTTCTTTTATAACCTCGTATGTTGTAATAAATGAGTGAATGTAAACCGTGATGCTTATTCCGGATTTGTGGTTTGTGTTTGTGGGGTTTTGGGGAGGGTGGGGTTAGAGGATTGTACCGCGCCACCCACCGGTCGCCAGTGAACGCTTGGAGGGTCTTGTCCTTCCCGACGCAAAGGCGTGGCTAGCTGTAAGGGGCGTGGTATTGCTTTACAAGGACCAATCGGAGGTATGATATAGAGAAGGTGTTCCAATGGGCGGGGTTGAGGATGATATTGTCCATTCACAGTGTTCCAATATGTAGCCGATCGCAGCCAATCAGGGAGGGACAGTTTATTTTAATTTAAAGAAAGCTTCTCAAGGGAACGGGACTCGATCTTGGGGGTGGTGTTGCGGCTGTGGATTGCGGTCGGTTGCTAAATCGATTGAGCTACACGGTGTCTCAAGCCTGCCAGTGCTACGAGGTCATTGATATCAATTAATTTGATTTTGCATAGTTGGAGGGGGTAAAATTAAGTATTCTTCTTCCTATTTTTTTTCTCTATTATTTTTAAAAATGTGTTGGGATTTTTATTTTGGAATTGGATAAAAACTCTCCCTAAATTGTGGAGACGACAAGTTTCGAACCTAGTCAGTCAGCATCCCCGAACAGACGCCCTACCAGACGAGCCACAGCAACTTGTGAAAAACGCACTTCATTCACCAAAATGTGGACGGACTTGTGGGAAAAACTTTTTTTCATTTACTCAAACTATTGTTCGAAAACAATTGATGTAGCAGTACTTGTCGGCAATAAGACGGAGTTTTAATAATTGGATGAGCGAAGCTGAACCCAAAGAGAGGCATCATCAGATTTAGCGTGAAGTAATTTTAAAATTACATTTTCTCATTAGATTTATAGGTGTTATGTATCCGATTACAGCCATGTTTATACCTTCCCTTAATCCAGCAAATCACATAGAGCTGCTTTTGTCTTGCACAGTGCACAGTGTTTAGTGTAGTTTTCAATGGTGCATACTGTCGATAGTTTTGCTTCAGTGTTTAAGGAATTGCAACAAGTAACAATTCTTTTGCTTGTTTTGCCACAAGGCACTTGTGTTATGTAATTGCATAAGGGCATGTCCTATAATTTGTAGCCCCCAGAACTTTCTTTAGGTCGTTCTGTGCTATTGCTCAAATTCAGTAATATCACATACATAGGCTATGGTTTTCTCAGCCATAAAGAATAAAACATGAATGAAAGAAATAGATATTCTGTATCCTAGTGTGTTGAGAGACTTTGGAGTCACTGCTCTAGATGTCTTGCTGCACACAGGCCCTGACAGGGCCATGAAGGAATTGAGCCCAGGTCACAGACAGAAGGTTTGTTAAAGAACCAAAACAAATGACAAGAAAACAAGTAACTAGGAGGATGAATATTGTTTTATTGTATGACAAACAGTAGTGAAAGTGAAAAGGATGATCTCAACACAAACACCAGCCAGCTGAAATCAGTGTTCATTCCTAAGGCTGGCCACAGAATTCTCCAAAGGCCAACCCTGAAAAATACAATCACAGTATTGTAGGAGCAAATTAGACTGAGGTATGAAAGAAAGAGCATAGTGTACTTTCAGCCTATGTGGGCCTGTATTAGATAATTTCATCCACATATAAAAACACGTTTTATATTAAAATAAGTACTATAAGAAAAAAAAGTGACAACAAACATAAAAAACAAATATTGACATTGCTAAAAATACATAATCAGTGACTTAGAGTGCATGTAATATCTGTATATCTATATACAGTATAAAGCAAAATATATTTAACAGGTGTTCAAATCATTACCTGTCTGTCTAAGTTGATTGAGGACTCTGGAAAGATTAACACTTTTAATGTAGACAGAATGTTTTTGTGCATTAATGCATTAAATGCATTAAACCAGAATCTCACTATATTTTCCAAGGGCTTGGAAAAATAAATCCCATTTAGAATTTAAGTGAACTACATACATACACACACATTAAAAAGCATTTCTCCCTTTAATCGTACTCCACATCTGAACATGCAGTGTAGAGCTTCAGTGCAACACAACTCTCATTCCATGCAGAATTGTGTATACTTTAGGTTCCAAGAGGTCTATAGACAGCTGTTTCATCAAGCATATCTGGTGTTTCCTTTAAGAGAAGGCTAAGAAGAGGTCTTTTAGTCCATCCCAGGGCATTTCTCAAAAAGAGCAGGGGTGTTTACCCTGTTGCCCTAGCCTAATTTCCTCCTGGCCTCATAAAGATCCCCATCTCTGAATTGGTTTCATCACTCTGCTCTCCTCCCCACTGATAGCTGATGTGTGGTGAGAGTACTGGCGCACTATGCCTTTAAAGTGCTTTGAGTGGAGTATCCAGAAAAGCACTATATAATTATATATGTATAGTATATAAGCACTTAACTATATAAGTGTAAGGAAATTACAATCATTTGCTTGGTAGTTAAATAACATCTTATCATAACAACAATGTGGATCTTGATATTGAACAGAAGAATTAATTGGACTGGAACTTTGTTTGCTCATTGTGGATATACAGTATACTGTTCTGTGCTACAGCTTTCTGACAGGGAAATGAGCTAAGAACTCTCATACCATCTACTGTACTGGGTGGACAGGAGGAGCTATTTAGGGTGCTGAAGAGAAGTTTATACTGCAGCTTAAGAGCAATTCTACTTGTAGAAAATCTGTTTTTACACAATACCTAGGTTTGCTTTATTAATACCATTTCTTATACCAAGGCAATTGCACTCATAAAAAGGAAAATACAATATTCAGTTAGGAGCAAAACGTATTTTAAATACGGGAGGGACACAGAGGTTGACAGCTCAGCGTTTAACCGGCTAATTCCAGCAAACTGATGCCTTTGCTGTCTACTGTCTCTTACCTTTCATGACAAGTTCAGAATTTACAAACTCACAGCGTGCTAATGTGAAATTGGTGTACCTTAATCTTAACAACAACCTGGTGTGCTGGACAGGAACACTTACTGCATTGATTCAGGCATGAAGTAAATGTACATACTGTACTGTAATTCTCAGCTCAATCCTATATCTTTATACCCAAACCTCAGCACAAACTAAAATCTAACTTTATAATCCAATACTAGCCAGCAAACACCATTCTAGTACTGTATATAGGTTTTAAATCCCACCACCTAAACATAAGTTATGGGTTTCTTTATCTGAATATATTTAATAGTGTCGATTTTGTATTGTAGCCACTGGCCGTATAGATCTCAGAGTGCAGTACATGCACACAGAGTACTTGTGTTTTAGACTATAGACCTCAAAATTAAAATAACATCCGATATGAAGACATTAGTGGTTCACACTTCATTAAATGATTTGTAGTTTGTAATTTAAATTTAAATCATCAAAGAAAATAGGTAAGCTGCTCTCTTTTGCCTATCTGCTACCTTGGATACCCGAGAATCACAGATATGTTATTACTGTCGTCTAAGTGTACCGACGTGGTCATGCGGGACGCAGTAAAGTTGTTTAATCTCAGTACAGTATGTGTATTGCATGCACGATGTGTGATCTCCCCGCCAGTTTTAGCTCGGCGAATATGTGTCATTCCGGAAAAGAGGGCAAGAGCATCGCGTTTGTTAATGTACCTAAATCGGATTTCACTAACTGAAATCCAGAAAAGAAAAAGGTCCCTTGTCCCGTATTTTGAGCACAATTACAGCTCACAATATCGGAAACTTGCCGTGGATAATAATCATGCATTAATGTAACCGACAAACCAGCCTCATTGTTGATACAGTGTAATCTACAAAACAAATGCTCACGTGGAGGGATTACTAAAGAACAGCAGTGTTACTCCTTTATTTATCGGTGTCTGCATAGTTCAAACTCGGAATACAGAGCTGTATTTACCGTTCAGTAAAAGGTGTGTACGTACCTTAATGAATTTTCGCTCTCCCACGGTATCCTCAATGTTGTCAGAAAGGGAAAAAACAATTAAAACCGACGTCCTCTGCAATTTGTTTCACAAACCCCAGACGCTGTCGCTTTGACATTAAACCATCTGTCAAGTCGTCCGAAACAAGCCCGCTATAGTGTAGCTGACGCCAGTTAAGAGGGAGCTCAGCGCCGCCTGTTGGACCCAAGCGGGACCGCACCTCCACTGCAGTGCACGACTCCAGCCACACCTGACCAGGTGTTGTTGGTTAAACAGCGCTTTAACAATTAAAGGCGTCATTCCTTACCCGTTTCTTAAACTACCAGTTTGTCGCCTGTGCACTCCCAGAACTACCGATTGGGGACAAAACAAGTCGACAGGAAACAATTCACCCCAACAGCACAAGTGCTTGTTTTTCCGTGCGCAGCGATTTCGCTCCCCCAGACGAGTCGCCACATTGACCAGACTCTAACATATCGCCAACGTTTTCAATTGATAAATAATCCGACACTGTAGCAAAGTATTTTCTTTACCTAGTGTCATTTAATTACGTTCACATAAAATATGCATTGAAATAAAAAAATGACAGCAATGCTAGCAAATCAGAAATAAGAATAATATGTAACATTTTCAAAGTGTTAAATGAAAGCACAGAACAGTGGTTATAGATGCTTGGAAGGGATTTCCCCCTCTCCTATTAGAACAGATACTTTGCCAAGGGGTGTATGGATATTAAATCAGCTACAACCCGTTTACAGCTCTAGAAAACAAGTGTAACATCTTGCTTGCCTTTATTAGGACTTGTCAGCCAGTCTCAAAAATGTACTTGTATAAATCTTTCAATACGAACAGCTGTCCAGTGTTTTTATGACCAAGCAGAAGTTCGCTATGAAACGTGGGATAGGATTCATTACCTCTGACTGTACTAACCATCCGTTTTCACTAACCACTTAACCCTATGCAGGGTTGCGGTGACCTGTCAGTGGACAGCATACACTCTGGATTGGACATAATATGCAAGAGCGCTGTAGTGCTCATATGCATACAGGGGGCAGTTTTAGACATGATGGCTTTGGGCTGTGACGGGAAACCCACTATGATACAGGGAGACCAGGCACACGAGCAACTAGTTCTAGTGGAAGGACTCCAGCTAACCTCACCTGTGGAAAGGGAAAACCAAAAAACCCAAGTGGACTTAACAGTTCAATTCTGTTGCTTCTTGACACACTCTTGGAAGTTTTCTAAATGTTCGAGCAGTTTTTCAGACACTAATAATTCCGTTTAATGCCTTTTCAGTTTTAAGTAGACGCATTCATACTAAGAAACAGGCGAGCAGAAGGGAACAAGGGACTCCAGTGAAGAAGCGTCGACATGAAAGGGTAAACTGAACATGTTTATTATTTAAACTATCACTTAAATAAAAAAAAGTGCATAGAAAATAAACATGATTAGAAATTTTCCTTTTTACAGTTATGTACAATTTTTTTTTTCAGTTATTTTACATTCAGTCTTAAGTAGTTTTCAGTTTTTTTTCCAACGGTCTTTCCTTCATTTCTGCGATATTAGATAACACTGATGAGCTACGAACTCAAGAGAAACAAACACTTAATCATCATCACCATGGTTATTATAGTTGCCATGACCACGCAGGGGGGCAAAGGGCAAAGGGCAGGGTGTTTCTGGCAGGACGCTAGAAGTTGAAAGTCCTCACGTGGGAAAAGGCAAGACAAGGAGAGTGTTGGTGAAAGGCCACAGAAAAAAAAAAGAAAAGCCTGTTCATCTTCCTTCTCTCCCCCACCATCCTCCTTTAGCGCGTCACTTCCCAATGCGGTACAGAGACCCTTAAAAACTACACATATAAAAGTTTAAGATTCATTTGACTACCCTAAACTGTCACTGTCCTGGAGTTTAGAAAATAATTGCAAAAAAAACAATAAATAAAAATTCTATAGTTCTTTATTATAAAACACTACATAAAAATGAATAAAAACTACAAATTAAGCCTTACCTATCAGAAGGTGGGGGAGCAGGAGGACAAAAGAAGCCCATCAGTGAGAGTTTTTTAAAACCGAAACAGAAAAGATAAAAAATAACTTTTTCTATGGCCTTGACTATTCAACACATTGAGTTACCACATCAAGAAAGCGGTCGAAGATTAAGAATTCCTGTAAAAAAAATATATGTCCAAAGAAAATAAAACATTCATTTTTTACTACAAGTTAAAATCACGAGAGTCAAATGGCTGACTTCAACAAGTACACAACCACATTATACATATATAGTTTCGTAATATAAATATCGTCGTTCCTTTAAAAAGAAAGAAAAAAAACAACCGCAGTGGGCCCTGTGACAAGGCCTCTAGACACAGGATAACGGATATTTGATATTAATTACAAGCTGCTGTTACGTTAGTTCTAGTATAGTAGTATCTGTAACACAAAAACCATTATAGAGTACACTGAAAGATGCAATTAACCTTAAGTAAGCTGCTGTTTGCTATTTGTAACTAAGTTTGTCCATTCCATATACTGTGTAGACACTGAAGTATGAGATACTATTTATATTTATATAAATGTATATATATATAGTGTAACTGGCAATGTGAAGGAGTTACTGGTTGTCCAAGGTGATGTGTGAAGAACTGCAATTGTCTCAGCACCCCTGTGGAGGTTATCTCTGAGGCACTGCCCAAAATGACTTGCTTCAATCCAAGAGGACAGTATTCTTGCAATATTGCGTTGAAATGCATTACACAAGGAGAAGTCTCTGACCAAGCCCTTATTAATAGCATTAATGTTAATCGGTTTCTTTAATTTTCACAAAATCGGTAAAGGCCTTAATTGTACAATCGCTCGAGGATTCTTTGCCTTTTTTTTCTCTCCTTTTTAAACAGAACAACCAGCGCAGGCTGGGTGGCTGTGATCAGTGTGAAATTGAAACATACATTCAATAGAGGCTGAGAGGCAGAATTCCCTCTGAACACCAACTCCATCCAGACAGGCCGGTGAGCAAGTATTTTGATGCAGAAAAAAAAAAGCTGACCATATCCCTGAAATAATTACGTCTCTTGGGACGATTTGTTTTTTGTGTTCTCCTTTATGGAAAAAAAAATGGTCCTAGATTTCTCGGGCAACCATCATTGTTGCTTTGGTTTCTAGAGCCGAGAGTTGTTGAAGGGGTACCGTCGCTGTCTTGCTATGAAGTATTCTCCCCCATTCTTTAACTTGAACTTAAAAACAAAAACGCGGAGTTTTGTATGAAGTCTTCCTCTCACTCGGTAAGTGCTATACAGGCTACCGCAAGTGCAACTTGCTTATACTGGGAGCCTGGGTAGGTCAGGAGTTTAAGGAATTCTGCATCTTCTTTCTCGGATAAAAAAAAAACAAAAAAACAGCACACAGTTCACAAAACAGCAAAAACAAAAATATACAACACAAAAACAAGAACTCAGAACTGGCCTGGTGTGCTCACTTCTCTAAGCACAGTGTGCGCACAGCAGCTTCCCAGCGCTCTGTTCACAGAGCTCTTTCCTCCCGAGGTATGTAAGGAAGAATTTGGCTCCCTAACGCTCAGGGCTTCTGCAGATACAGCTGCGGCCCAAGTTGGATGGGATACTATGAAGCGCCGTCGGAGGAAACAAAACAGCAGCGCGGCACTAAGAAAACGACTCCCAAAGACCACCAAAAATATCCTTCCTACGGGCTCTGGAGTTAAAAATCAAGTGAACGGAACCCAGTGACAAAGAGGTTCAGAGTGTCATCTTGTTCAGTTTTGTCCTGGTCTGGGCTTAGTAGTAAAAAAAAGCTCTCTCTCTCAACAAAAGGTCACCGTGCCCCAGATCTGATATTCAAACTGGGCTAGTTGACCAAAGATCAGAGCTGTAGGACAGGGGGCAGACCCCTCACTCCCCCACAGCTCTTTCTCCAATAGGGGCAAGGCGGCAGCAGCAGCACAAGTGCTATTTTACTTGGTCTCATTTTTGTATCAGTTTGGGTGTACAAAACGCTGCTCTAATGAGGGACTGAATGAGGACAACAGTGGGGAAAAAAACAGCAGAGCAGCCCACTGTTTCCTCTTGAATGGAGGGTAATTTCGGGATTCTGTCGGCACGCCAGGTTGGGACCGATGTAGTACTGGGAGATGTAGAATGGCACCCCCACAAGAGAAACCGAGCCCCAGGCTTTCAGGATCTTTAAACAGACGTCTTGGTGCCCCCACCCCGTTGCTGCCGAATACTGGATTTCTAGTCGCCAAACGTAAAAGCCAGACCGAGAGCATCACGATAGCTCCTTGAGATGGGAATGAAAAGGCAACCCCCCCCCAACACCGCGTACTGGGAGACAAAAAAGTGGCAAGCTACCCTGAGGTGTGGAGCAACAGCACCTTTGTCGAGGAATTTAAAAAGAGCAAAATGAGGACACTCAAGAGGAGACCAGCTCTCGAGTCGGCCCACTGACAACCCTGCTCTGCAGCGCCACACCCAGGCAAGCACACGTATCCGAAGGGTGCTTCCACTGAGGAAGATCTCCCCCTCTGTCGGGGAGTGAGGCAGACCCCCTCATTCCTCCCCCCACCCCGGCCCCAGCGACTGATCGTGGCAAAAGACACGGCTGTTTCCCCGAGTGAACCATCCCTTCGCAGGAATCAAAAAGGGAAAAAAAGCCCCCAAAAGACCTTCTCACACTCCTCGAAGTATTTCATCGAGAGCGGCTACAATCCTGGAGGCAACATCCACTCTGACCGTGGACTGAAAAGCAAAAGGAGTGACACACTGTTATTTTCTCTCAATCAGGGTGCCAGACTGGCTGGTTTGCTGCACTTAAAACAGGTAAACAGGTCGAGTTTACACACTTTGCTGCACCATGCCTACTGCTGATGTCTAGTTATTCAAAAACGGACACAATCGATACTGGAAATCTGCAAAGACCAACCAGCCAGAGCTAGGAGGAGGACTGCTAACTGAGGGACAGGGACAGCTGTTGTTTTTTTAACAACCGAGAAAGCCACAGGCTATGAGAAATTAAATAACATTAAAAAAAAAACAACATATAAGATCTATAAAATTTCTCAACCAAAGCGTCAGTGTTTGTAAACTTTGTTTCGTCTCCTACAAAAGAGGACCTCAGTAAAATAAATACAACTTGTTTCTTTTAAAAAAATAAATACAATCACTAAGTGCTTTTCACCTTTAAGCGCTTTTTGTCTCACGTATAGAAAAATATACATATTATTTACATTTAAAAAGAGAAAACATGAATTGCGTAACAAAAATATTAATATCAGTCAAGAGAACGAGAGAGAGAGAGACCTGAATGGGTCAGTCTATGGATATGTCTAAAAGATAATTGAAAATATTTTGGCAGTCTGTGTTTGGAAATAGTACTTGGAGCAACGATGCTTTTTCATGGACATTATTCTTATCCTTTAAAAAATTCCCAAGAGATCATGCTATTACAATGGAAATACCCTTCTTTAAACTGCAATATTTTGCTAGTTTAGAGCATTTAGGCTCAAGCCACATGTTCTCACCTCCTAAATCAGATGACGTAATTTTCTGGAGGGTCAAAGAAAACCCCACCCCCTGCAATGTTAAACCAGACTGGGTACAGGTTCGATCAGGCAACAGGCTGAAGAGTCAGAGTGGAATTTCAGTGGGGCTCAGAGCCCGGGGGTGTGGAGTGGGCAGTGTAGGCGAGTCGATGACAATGTAGTCCTTTCCTATGTCAGGTGTAAGAAATAAAAGGAAAAGCGCTCATGTCCCTTAGCTCTCAGTGTTCCGCTCAAGAACAGGCACTGTTCCGTCAGAGATCGAGTGCCACTGGCTTCCTTCCATCCAGCTTAACCCCTGTCGGATTTCTCATGTAGTATACAGACCCATCGCCGTCATTATTCGGAGTATCAGAATTGAAAAAAATAAAATCTACAAGATTTCCTTTACAGGGCTATGATCGGCGCCGCACTGGGCACCATTACGCTCTCTAGTGTTTAAAGAAAACCCCACAATGGTCATGACTTGTCAGACGTTACAACTAGGGTTAGTATATAATACAGTGTATCGGAAACACAACTAAGAAATTTCAAAACGGACCCATGACATCTCCTAATGCGAAGACTCGCCCATACGCCACTATGTACATTCAAAGGTTGAGAGATAGGGGAGTGTGTTTGCCTTTACTATTGATTTCTCTTTCCCTTTCCCAGATTGCACTTATCATATGTCAAAGGTGTCCACTGTTGTTTCGATTCCTGTATTGTTAATCAGTGCTTTACCTGCCCCAACCAAAACTAGGTACCCAGTGTGGCGTCATAGTTCCAGAGACAAGACCTCACCCCCAGAAAATCAGATCAGGAGTTCAAAATTCACCTGCTTGGTCAAAACTGACTGGGGGAAGGGGAGGGACGCTATTCTTTAATAAATGACAAGCAAAAGTACACTGCTTTTGAAAGGGCCAGGGGGACACACTAACAGCATCTTTAAAAATGTTATCTGTTGTGTCTACAGGTAAGAAGTTTTGCACGCTCCCCCGTAGGGATGGAGGCCTTTTGACCCAGCAGACACCCTCCACCCTCCTCCATCCCCTCCCCATTCTCTTCCTTGAAAAAAATGAGCAGCGAGAATTTCCTGGCAGCCACCTCGCGTGGCTCACTAGACAGACACTAGTTAACAGCACACTGACGGACAGAATCCCTGCTTTCCCCAAGAAAGCACCATCAACCAGTAGCAACCCAGAATGCCCTGGAAGCTCTCTGCAGGGGTCGGCTGACAGCCGGAGGGCGAGAGGTTCGTCAGGAGCCCGGCGCGTCAGTTGAGGAACTTGCGGCACTTCTTGGCCCCGCAGTTGCAGGGCAGCTTGTTGCCGGCGTCCTCGATGGGGAACTTGTAGTCGTAGGTGAGCTCCTCGCCGCGGTAGATCTTGCGCAGGGCGAAGATGACGATGTGCTTCTGGCCGTCGATGTTGATGACGCGCGAGTAGCAGTTGGGCTCGCAGGAGTGGTTGATGAAGCGCGCCGCGTTGCCGTGCATGGTGGCGTCCACCACTTCGTAGTCGTCGATGCGGAACATGTAGCAGCCGATGCCCTGGCGTGGGAGAAAGGGATATGAAGTCACGGAAAAGAACGGGAGCGCGTCGGCAGATCATACCCTGCAGCGGAACTTCATGTGCAGCACGCCTGATCTCAAGATTCAAGAGGGTGCTTGGAACAGCCGGCCTAATCCACTGAAGCCAATGTTTTGCAATTAGTGGAGGTGCCTGTCTTAAAACACACTGCCAAGTTGAAGCAGCTGTCTGTAGTCTTTTGGAACCTAAAATATTTGTAAATCTGCATGGAATAAGATTTCTGTTGCACTATTGGTCTAGACAGTATGTGGCACAGAATTAAAACACTGTTTTATATGCCTGATATGTATCTAGTTGACCCATGTTACACAGCATGACATATACAAAGAAGCTGCAGCACAGACTTCCAGGCTACTATACAGAGAAATGCTTCTGTTCTAGCATGGCAATTCATATGGCTGAATGACAGAAATGGTTTCTGAAAAGGCTGGCAATTTCTTTAATAGCTAAACAGCAGCTGCCAAGTGGGTGAAGCCGAAATAAATGCACAGGCCTGGTGCGAATGATTAAGGGAGACAAGCCAGCCTTCCTGGGCCTGCGTGGTGTATGGGACTTGTTTCTAGGCAAGTGGCCGTGTCTGCTCTTTCGGGGAGGACTGCAGGACACTCCCCTGGGACCTATGTCCCGGCCCCCCTACCTTTCCGTCGTAATACTTCTCCCGCTTGTCAGTGAGGACGGAGCGGATGACATTCCCCGAGTACTCGATCACCATCTCCCCCGCGTCGATGTTCCTCTTGCAGAACAGTCCCCGGCCGTGGATGGCGGACCTGATGGACACACGAGAAGCCGGCGAGGTCACTTTCACTGCACCAGCTCCCTTGTTATACTTAAAACTGGATTCTTGCACCTGTCTGTTTGTTTTCACTCCAGCCGAGCTCTACATCTCCACCGCTCATTCATGACTCAATTGATCTGCTTGCTTGTCTAGACCTAATCAGTTCCAAGTGTTCAAATATCCTACTTCAAGGGTTCAGGTTCCAACAACAGCAGCACACAGAACTTTACACAGCCTCTTAATTGCTTGCCGTTATTTCTAACTAAACAGCTCCTACTAGCTGATCCGCTGATGATGACAAATCAGATGAGAAGAGGCTGTTTGGGCCACTGGACCATTTTAGTCCTTTTGCTCTGTGGTATGATAGACAGGGCTGGTTGTACCGGGAGCACACCTGCCAAGATAAAATGCTCTCCAAACCCCTCCCTGAAAGGGGATAGCAAACAAAAACATGTGAACATGCAGACACCACACAGACAGACACCCCAAGCTGGAATTAAACCCGACAGCTTTGAGGCTGCAATGCCTGCCACCATGCTACCACGCCTGGAGAATCTGATGTGGAAATGCAGAAGATTAACAGTTCAGAGCCCAGAGCCACGTCTCTGGATTTCTGTGCTCGGAGTGCAGAACGGACCCCCTACCTGTAGACGCCCACCGCTTCCTTCGATGTCTTCTTTAAGTGCCTGAACCTCATGGGCATGGGCAGGTCCATACTGGTGGGACGGCTGGCAAAAAAAAAAGACCGAGTGAATCACTGGTCGATCCTCTCAACAAGCTTTGTTGTTTGGAGAAAGAGGGGAGAGAAAGACTCAGAAGAAATGAATGGAAGACAGAGCCACAGCATAAAAGGACGCGAGAAAGAAGGGGTGAACGGTCCGACACAGAGAGGGCCCCCCCTCAGGCCAAGGAGAGGGCAGTGCCGAATCCCCAAACAGAGCCACTCACCGGGCAGACTTGAGCTGCACCTCCTCTTCCTCCTCGTCGTGGGGGCTGTACTTGGGGGGCTGCCGGTGTTTGGAGGCCAGGAAGTTGAACATGTCAAACACCGAGCGCCTGAAAGGAAGAGACGGGAAGACGAGGAATGACACCACGAGCGAGGGGGCCTAGAGGGGCTGGGATCGACAGTCTTGGGCCCCACTAGTCAGTTTCGCCCACTTGTTCCTCACCGCGACTGTCACTAGCCCTGGCCACGCGCGCGCGGTTTCCCACAGCCGCCTACCTGTAGTTGACCTCCGCTCTGGCCGCGCCGTGCGGGTTGATGGGCGGCTCATCCGCCTCCTCTGGCTTGTGGAAGCGGAACTTGTAGTTGCGACAGTGCCGGGCGCCGTACAGCTGCTCCAGGAGGAACACCACGGCGTCGTGGATCACCCCCAGCATCCACAGGCCGTTCACCCCTGAGAAAGAGCGAGGCAGCAGGGAGTGAGGACGGGGCGGCTAACCCTGGAAAACCTTGTACCTTCTGCTGCCTCCATCCTGTGCTCCAGTTCACCCAGTAGTACATTTTTTTACAAAGCCCTTGTTCTTACCCTGTATACCTTGTTCTTGTACTCTACTTATAAATATATACATCGTGGTTGTATCGTGATTAGCGACTGAGCTCCTGTTTTTCTTCTTTTTCTTTTTCTAGAATTCTGGATTTGTTCAAAAGGAACATCTGCAGAAGAAGACTAGCTCAAAGCTACTGATCTACGGGATAAACAAGAAAATGCAGAGGAACAAGTAAAGGTTCGTCCCATGCCGAAAGGAAAAGAGACACAATGTTTTGGCTGTGGAGCCTTCTTCAGGTGTCGCACCTGAATAAACCTTTACATTTTCCTTTGCAGCCTATGCATGCCTGAACTTAGGGGAATGTTTACTCCCTGAACGTCTAGAGGCTGTAATGAAGGCTCAGATTTTTATGCTTTGTTTTGCATTACAATACAACGCAGTATATAGCGTAGTGGACAGGTCTGTTGGTCTCTGAAGTGGGCGTTTGTGGGTTTGAGTCCCTGCTCCAGAGACAGCTGTGTAATGGAAACCAGCATCGCTAGGGGATGCTCTGGCCTGAAGGGTTGATATGGCTGTGCAACCCAGAAACCCACAATGAAACAAACTCACATTATCTTTTAGCAACTCGTTACATCTTGGATTTGTATGGACCCTGAAACCCCATATACAGAGAAGTGTTTTTAGTAATGAACATTAAGTCTCATTAAGTCAAGCAGGGGACGTTTATCAGAAAACGCCTCTTCCAGAAAACCAGGTCATGCAAATTTCTGTCTTAACCCCAGAACTGTGTGATGCGAATTAGTTCCTTTAATACATACAAGCTTCATCCTGCTTTTGATTTCCGTTCTACTTAATATTATTTTGATTGTTTACCTCGAATGGGAAAAAGATTCGCAACCAATAAGTGAAGATCTTTTCAGGACAGGAATGAGACATTTAGGGAACTCAGTCGCACAGAGATCAGGGCAGGACGGCTAACCTTCAAAGGAGAGCTCCTTCAGCCTGGCATTGGAGCGTGCCTCCTGGACCTTGTCAGTCAGGGACTTCCAGGCCTCTACAGGGAGGAAAGGAAGAGAAAGAGGCGCAGTTGAGGAAGAGTGTATCGCTTCTGAAGTGGAAGCCCCTTGTGTGAGCGTAAAACTGGAAAAACACCAACACACAAGCTCTCCATGGCTTACAGCACGCATCAAGATCCACATATAAAGCACCCTCCACCTCCTGTACTGACTCTATGGCTTCTGTTTTTAGGGTTTTCTCAGTTATATACAATCATAATGCACCACTGAACAATATAAGAAACAAACAGAATGTTAAAAAATAAAACCACACAAAGCACTTGTAAAATCTTATTATTACTGTTATTATTTTAATAACCGGAACCATCAATAACCATCAAGAACACAACTAGTACTACAAGGCGTATTTAAAACTGAGAACAAGACACTTCTTTATGTAAAGACTGCCCAGGTGTACTGTCTCAGAAGGCATCTTTCAAGAACAAGCTGGATCAGATTCTCAGATCAATAAGTTACTACTAATTATGCCTCCGGTCTTCTCGTTTCTAACCTTTGTTATGCTCTTGTGCTCTTTTTCTTTTTTCTATTTTATTGAGCAGTGTTCAGAAATCTCTCTTTTAAAAAAGCATGTGCAACAGCAATGTCATCAGCACCAACAAACAAAACAAAACCTCAGAGAACATTAACAGGAGCTGTAAGCTGCTGTGATTTAATTAAGACAAATTGAAAAAGGCATCTCCATCAAAACCTGAAGTACAGCAATTTAAAGCAGTTTAATTAAACCATTAAATGCTTCTGATTTAATGTAACGCAAATGAGTGTTCACTGTGTCTGAGTGCCATCTGTAGGGTAACAGGCCAAAAAAGAAGGCTTAATGATAAAAAGCATGAACTCAGGAGATGAGGAGGTCCGACACTGGACAAAAACAGGGGTCAGAGGTCACCTTCAATGCTCTCCGAGCGGATCTGGAAGCCGTCGTCGCTGCAGATCTCAAACATCAGCCCTTTCTTCGGCTTCCTGTCGGCCGGCCTGTCCTTCTGCTGCTGCTCCTGCCCCTTCTGCTGCGCCCCCACAGCCCGGGGCTCCCCGACTGACGTGGCGTGGGGCGGAGATGAGAGCGAAAGATTAGCCAGCACTCGGACTGCTTACAAATCACTTTGCGGTTGCTACAGATGTAGTCTTTTGATCAGGAAGAGGAGCAAGGACTGAAGAAAACTCCTGCAGCCATGCAAGCATTTCCTGATCTACCGTGTGCACGGCCAGTGCGGGCGCAGCTCACCTGTGGCCTTGGGTTTCTCCTCGGGGGTCTCCAGAGCGCTGGTGCCCTGGGCAGGAAGTGCCATGGTCCCATCAGGAGCCTCACTGCAAGCACACAACCCCAGCAGGCAGTGAGACACAGACAGAGACCACAGGCTCCTCAAAAACACCTGCTAACTGCCACAGCCAAGGGCTGGTCAACACTGCTCGTGTGGTGTGATGGATCAATGGAACAACCACGCTCAAGGCTGCCCATCGTTTGATCAGTGGAGCCATTGTGCAGTTCATGACAGAAATCCCTTACAGACATTTCTAGTGGTATGCCACGGCAACACTGCACAGCGAAATTCTGGGAAAGCAAGGAGAAACCATAGGAAAAACTGCCATGGCAGAGTCAAATGCACGAATAGCGTGGTAAACCTTCACCAGGCATGTCACAAGCTACCGTATATCTTTACCACTGCCACTAGCCTCCCTCCCAGCTCCAAAACAAAACCATTATCAGTGTCGTCACGGTGAAGTGCGAACATGCACATTCTTACTCCACTAACACAATTGAACACAAGCGAAATGAGCAACAGGACTTCTCAGCAAGAGAGCTGTTTCAGCTGAACATCCTGATGCATTGTGTCTTTAATGGAAAGGGTGAGAGGAAATAGCAGGGTAGAAAGATGGAACTTTTACTGGGAGAGCTCAGTCAGAATGTGAAACCTGGGAGATGATTCCCAGACTCGCACTATGCAGGACTCACCCCTTCCTCGCCTCCCTCTCAATATCCATAGGTTCAGGAGAGACAGGACCTCTAGCCCTAGAAACACACACAATTACAAGACTTTAGATTTCAGTCATATGGATATATTTCCACAACTTGCTACACCACATGCTTAACAAACTGTTTGTATTATGGAAGACAAGTGGAATAGAGAAACTGGTTTAAGACCCACATGGAACATTATACAGTTGCAAAGCTTGATGGCAGCTTCCCACTGAGTCGAGAGAAGATGCATCTTCAACTCAAACTGCAGTTACACGGGTGGAGAAACCGATATGATCTGGGTCTAATGTGATCGAACTATCAATGATTAAATCTGGGTGTAATGTGTATTCTGACTTTTTTGCTGAGCGAGAGGTGTAAAAAAACAAAAGCAAAGGCAAGGTTCTCAGCTTGCAAAACGAGCCGCCATCTATTTTTCACGCTTTCCTGCAGCACCGTCTTATTTGACATACTGCAATCTCCACAATCTTCACAGCTCGCCACCTAATCCCTCCCCCATGACAGAAGTGTGTGAAACATTTCTCACCAACGGCACTGCAGGCCCGCAGGTGTCCAGCAAGTCACAGGGACAACGGGATCCCAACCCTGACCAGCTAATCCCAACCCGAGCCCAGTGGTACTATGCCGGTTGTGCTTTGCCGCTTGGACAAACTCCCCCTCTTACCCTGGAGCGGAGGAATCTCGGCTGCCGGCGTTGGCCGCCCCCTGCTTTTCCCGAGGGCTATCCACGTGCATCGGCTTGTGCTTCTTCCCACTGCCTTTATCCGGGCTGGGCTGCGTCCGCTTCACCTTGACCTTCCCCTTCCCAGTGGCCTCGCTGGCCGCAGCAGTTAGTGCTGGAGCTGCCGCTGATGCTGCTGCTCCCGCTCCCAAGTTCGCCGTCTTGTGCGCCTGTTGCTGGTCCGAGGCCCGCGAAAGCGGAGTCGCCCTCGAGCTCTGCCCCGAGGTGCCCAACGTCCGCACCCTTTCCGGCGCCGCAGTGCTGGGCGCTAGCGGCGTGGGGGCTGATATGTTGGCGCTTGTGCCGTGGTCGAGCGCTTGAGGTTTGTCGGCCAGCAGCGGAGTCACTGGGTAGTGCTGCAGGTGGTAGCCGCCTTCCTGGTCGGCCGGCTGGGTGACGGGCATGCTGATGGCCTGAGGGGAGGGCAGTACGCAGATGCTGCTGGTGTTGGGAGTCGGAACTGGGCCGCTTAGCTGGGAAATCATACCAGGCCCAGGCTGCAGCACCATCTGCTGCTCAGGGAGGCCCAGACTCTGCTGTGTGGCTTTGAGGATTAGGTTGCTGATGGATCCTGTGATGTCTGCTGGTCCCAGGAGCCCTGGGGTGCTAAGGGATACGGATCCTGGTCCCAGGAGGTTGCCAGGCCCACTGGTTGGCATAGAAACAACATTCAGCACAGGCTGGTTGGGATTCAGACCAGACATTGTGCAGGGTACCAGGTGTGCGGAAGACTCATGCCCAAGGATGCCTGGTTGTCCAGCCTGGGCAACCATACCCTGGGGCAACAGAGGTGCCTGCTCAAAGTACACTGCGCTCACCTCGGATTTGGGGCGCTTGATGATGTTGGGAACTGTCCGGTGAGACGTAGCTGCTGCTGCTGTAGCCAGAGTGCCAAGCTCCACCAGCCTGGACTGCCCCTGTATTCCTGCAGGAATCTGGGAAGGTGAGAAGTTGATGAGGGTCATGTTGGGCGCAACCTCCGAGGGGGCTAACGTTGGTTGGGTCCCCGAGCGTGCTAGCTTCTTGGTCTTGCGTGGCTGGAGCCGGGAAATGGGGCGCTTCTTGCCATGGCCTGAAGCAGGTGCAACAGAGGAGGGAGAGCTAGATGTAGAGCTGGAGATGATGGAAGAGGCCACAGCAGCCAGCTCGGGTCGGTGACCAGCCTCAGAGACAAGCATCTGGGGGTCCTGGGAATGCTGAACCCCAATGCGAAGGCTGGAAGTGGTACTGGGAATTCCAGTCGGGAAGCTTGTCTGTGTTGCACCAGCAAAAGCATGGATCTGGGGGTGATGGGGCATGGGAACCAAACCTTTACCAGCAGTAGGGAAAATGGACTGAGAAGTGGATATTCCAGGGTTCAAACTTGGTGCTAGTGCCAATCCTCCAGTCATTGACGCCAAGACTGAGGAGCTGGTGTCCATGACGCCAGCAGTTGTGCTGACTGATGGCGCGATCTGTATCTCTTGAGTGACCCCATTGGGGAGAGTCTGAAAGACATAGAGGGGCTGCATGTGCTGGTTAACCACAATCAGTTTCTCTGTGCCTGGCTTGAGATGGGTGGCAGTGGTCTGAACGGCGGTGCTTGCTACCTGGGTTGGGCCAGGACTCTCTGCAGTGGCAGGCATGTACTTCTGCCCTTGCAGTGGGATGGTAGGCGAACTGGGAAGTCCAGGTGTACCAGAACTTCTGGCTAAATCGCTGCTAGGCTCCACAACCTGACCAATTGGTGGACTGGTCATACGGTCTCCTTCTAGACGGGTGGGGATGAAATGCTCAGGGGTCATGTGGCCTTCTGTGACTTGTGACTCCCCGCTGCCTGCTCCCCCTTGCTGGGTCTCACTGGAAGCACTGGTGGCCCCTCGCGATTTGTCACCACCTTTCTCAACCTCCTCTGAAGGCAGAGACAGAATGGAGCGCTCTGGGGGCTCAGGAATCAGGGCACTGTGGTTCTGGTTGGCCACCGAGGGGCTGCGTGTGGTCAGCACAGAGAGGTCAGAGGGCAGCTCCAGTGGGAGGTCATATTGCTCTTCCCCAGGAATGGAAGCATTTACTCCGCTCTCTACGGGCTCAGTGCTGGGCAGCTGCTGGGAGAAGTCCTCAAACAGCCCGATGTCCTTGCCCCGGTTGCCATCGAGCCCGAAGCCCTCATCCAGAGACAGAAGCTCAGTGGAAGAGGTCTCAGGTTGCTGTCCAAGAGCCTGCATGGAGGGCGTGTTGAGCACAAACTCCATGATGTCGGAGGGAAGGATATTGCCACAGTCGTCGCTGTTGGTGTTGTCCGAGTCAGATTTCAACAGCTCTGTGTTGAGGGTGAGCTGAGCCTCCAGGGGATCCTGCCCCTGTGATTTCACGCTACTCAGGGGAAGGCAGTTTTCCAGCTTGTTTCCATCCTTAAGGCTCTTTCTGGTGTCTCGACTGTTGCTGACACCACCATTATTCCCAGCTCCTCCACCACGGTTTTCAGCTTCTTTGCCAGTGCCCGAATCCTCACATGACCCCATATCCAGCTTCTCTCCCCGGCTATCTTTGCTCTTTCTCTTGCCAGTGCTCTGAGTGGTCTTGCCCGATGTGGAGGAGGTAGCAGCAGTGCTAGTGGCGTTCACGCTGGTGTCACTTTCTGAGCCATCATCTACGCCGTCCAGCTGGCCAATCTGTGGGCGGCCCAAGTGGTCCATTGCTCTACCTCCTCCTTCTTCCCCTATCCGGTCCTCTTCTCCCGACTCCTCCTTGAGGAAGCCATGGAGCTGGGAGTCCCTTCCGAGGCACTGCTCTATCCCTCCTTCAGGGGTCAGCCCACGACCCGGGTTGATAATAGTGTGAGTGAAATTGTAGTAATAAGCGTCCTCGTCGCTGCCCTGGCCCACGACCCCCTCTTCGTCCTCTCCGCTCTCGCCCGAGGAGGAAGTCGTCATGTCATCCGCCCCGTCCACCTGCCCTTCCGCTGCTCGCTTGCTGCCCCCGCCTCCTGACCGCTTCTTTCCCGAAGAGGAGTCCCCGCTGCTGTAAAAGGGAATGTCTTCTTCACCGTAGGAGCGAACGCCGTAGAAGGGCGTCAGGCCAAAAAACATGTTGGACCGTGCACGGGCGCTGCGCCGAGGGTAACGCCGCTTCACCGAACCAGCACTGTCGCTGTCGTCCTCATGCTGTTTGACTCCACAGCTGCTGTCGCCACTGCCGTCTTGAAGGGCGTGCTCAGCAGTGCCTTCTGGGCTGTCCTTCTGAAAAACCGCATCATCCCCAGCACTGTGCTGTGCACCAAGGAGATGCGCCACTCCTTCGTCCTGCGGGTGCTGGGCTTCCAGTTCCGAGCCCTTCGAGCTCATGCAGGGTGGAGAAAACAGGAGGCTCCGCGACGATTTCTTGTGAGACCCCAGGGGAGTAGAGGACGTGGAGGTTGATGTGGTCGTGGTAGAGGAACTGCTGACGGTTTTAGTCCCATTAGGGTCCATTTTCAAGGGCGTAAGTGTCACCTTGACTGTGCGTTTTTTCTGGGACACCGATGCCTCTTTCCCTGATGTTTCTGTGTGAGCTTGTGAAGCTCTGAACCCTTTTTCTGAGCCACACTTGTGCTGCGTCCCCCCAGGGGCGCTCGTGCTGCTGGTCTTCTTCTCTGAACCAGGAAATCTCTCTTTACACTTCAGAGATTTCTCTCCCACCGGACTCTCAAAATTCTCAGGGTCCAGCTTCCCAGAGCCTTTGGCATTGCTACTCACAGACTCCATGACAGAGGGGTCTGAGGTTTGCGTGGTACTGTTCTGGGGCGTCTTCTCCTTCTCCTTCGTCGTTTCCTTGCCCCCCACTGCTTTCACTTTGGAACGTTTATCTTTGGGGTTGGGAATCCCGTGGCTGGCCCCCGGGGGTGGGGCTGCCAGCAAGCTGCGCTTTACGGTGTCCTCTGCTGGCCTTGGTCCCGATGACCACGCGGTCTTTACCGCGGGCAGTGCGCTGGGCATTGGTAGCTGCTCGCGGGGCTTCTTCACCCCACCTTTGTGATGCAGAAGAGGAAGAGGAGGAGGGGGAGGGGGAGGAGTAGAGCCAGGTTTTGGAAGGTCTTTGGAGGACACCGCAGCTGTAGAATTTCCGTCTTTCACTGGCTCGCTGCTGTTGGCATCCTTTGGTAGCGCAGCCGAATGGTGCCTGGACGCCAGGCTAAGCCCAGCTGAAGGAGCCGTGTCTTTGGTGCTGCCTTGCTTCCCCTTTTCGGTCTTTGAGTTGCTGTTGCTTCTCCTGTGGCTGGTGAGGACAGCCGTCGCCACCGGAGGGGACACCTGGCTCTCTCTGGCCAGCGACGGTAGTTCTGCGCCACTTGTGGAATTCTGTCCTGCTGACTTGCCCACGCCGTCCCTGCCGCCCTCTGCCTTCCTCTCCTGGGTGCTGCTCCCGTTCTTCCGGGAGGCCCCAGGGCTGGTGCTCCCGGACTCCCGAGCGTGACCACCCCCTCCACCACTACTGCGGCTCTCCGCATCCCAGCTTCCGGGCTCGCGGGGGTTGGAGGAGAGGGAGGGGGCGGAGGAGAACCCCCCCGACCTCCCCAGCGGCCCCCCACCCCGCGAAGGGGAGGTGACCCGCTGTTTGGGCTGCTGCGGGGAGATGGAGGAGGTGCTGTGGCGCCGGGACCCGATGCTCCGAAGGCCGGAATTGAGCAAGGGGTCGCCCACGGTCACTATCTCGTGGGTTGTGGGAGAGGGGTCCCCTAGAAAACAACAAGACATGAGACGGATTTGAATGGACTTCATCAATGTGGATTCTTTACATTATTAAATCTTTAAATTATTAAAGGATTGTGCATTTCAAACCGTATAGTTTTCCTACAATGACAATTTTTCAGATTGTCAGATGTTATCAATTGCTACTCAACAGACAATGAATGCCTACAAGGTGCAGTTACCTGCCGAAGGAAGAGGCCTGGAGCTGGGAGATCTGTGACAGGGGGGGTAGCTGGGGTGCCTGTTGCGGGTGGCTGCCTGTGGCTTTTGGGGTGACGGGAGAGGCTTTTTGTCGGCGGGGCGCGCAGGTGCCATGGAGCCGGGGAGTGGGCACATCTCAACGTCTGTGCAAAAGAAAGACAGCGTCTCACCACCTTGCCCTTCGAGTTCCACCTCGTCTAGGGCCAAACCCATGTAAACGATGAGTTTTCTGTTCCAACTCAAGCATCAATCAATTCAAAGGCAACAAAAAATGAATATTGCGAACAAAATAAGAATTGGGCCACGCATAGTTAGATTAGCCTTAGGACTGAAGTGGACTCATGAACACACTGCTCCAATTTGTGAGGATGGGTGGGATGTACCAAACTGAACAGTGAACCACAATGTGAAGCAACGCCCCACACTCTGAGCAATGACACATGAGCACGGTGGCCTACAGGATAACCTGACCATCACACCGTATTTCTCAGAGAGATTAACCCACCAAGGCCAACAAGGAACCACTGAAAGTGGTACAACAGAACCTGTCAACACAGCGCGTCTTTCAAAAGCACATCCATTCTTCCCTGCGGTCGAACGGTGTTGTGACCCCGCTCTTACCTGTGACCCGGGGGGGGCTATGGGCGATGGTCCGATTCTCCTCCCGTTCCACTGTGCTGTCCACATCGGCCTCCACCACCGGTGGGTGACATACCAGGATCTTGCAGGTGTACACGCAGCGCTTGCGGGCGTCCAGGGTGCTCCAGTACACTCGCGAACACCTGTCAGGACAGCGAGACGGCGACGTTCAGGGATCTGAGATTCCGTCGTTCAGAGCAGAGGGCCTATTCTGCAGCAGCATGTCTGTGCAGGAATTGCTGTCAGACTGTTTCTGGTTTCTGCATTATTCACGGTTGGGTTTTCCACCTGCAGCTAAGCTTTTTATAAAGGAAGTCTTCATTGTGAGGATGAAACTTTGCACGCATACCTTTAGGAAATAGAGGGGTATATGCAAAGCCCAGCCCTCCTCAAAAATAATTTGTTAACTAGACCAAGCATCTCCGAAGGCTGGAACTTACTGATAGCCAATGGGGAAGAGCTTGCGTTCGCAGTCGGAGAGTTCGGTCAGGATCCCCAGGCAGTCAACAGTCATGGAGCCTTTGTAGAAACACGAGACATATGGTTATACAGTTCACTCCATCAAACTCTTTTTCTGTAGTGCCCTAGTCAGACCATCACACTCCAAGAGATTAACCCACTGACTCCAGAGGGGGTCTGTGACACTGACAGCTAACCTGTCAACACAGAAAATTATTAAAAAGCATCCTCCCTCTATCTATCCAATGCTGATCAGAGGGTGCAGAGCAGAACTATACACCCAATGGAATGCCAACACACTCAAGCACAAATGGATAATTCAGAAACGCTAGGTAATCTAGCCAGCTTTGGAAAGTGGGCTTGTTGTTTAAGCATCCCACAGGAAGGCAGAAAAAACAAGCAACTTATCCAACTGGCCCTATCCAGAATTGAGCAGCATTAAAATCCAGTGCTCATGTGGAGCCCTTCAGAAGTACAATGAATGAAAAACCCAAGATCAGACGCATTCTATTTTAAAACCAACTTCTTTGAGGTTGGTTTTAAATATAAACATATATAAACATATTAGCAACCAAAAACACAGTACACCACAGGGTGTACTGAAAAGCAAGTACTACATTAGATTGACCTCTTGCGGGTCCGGTACTAAACTACACTGAGGAAATTTAGCTTTGTAATATATCTGACAAAAGGAAGCTGACATCTAGCCGAGGCACAGTGACCTATCTCAGCTTGCCAGACAAACACAGACATACCAATCATCAAGTGAATGTTCTCTGGTTCCAAGCCATTAAGAAACTTCCTCCGGAGGCTGATCCCTTCGAAATCCACCAGGATCCGCCGCGTGACCTCGAACCCCGTCTCCGAAACCACCTGCAAGAGCCGAAAACAGGCAATCACAAGACTTAGGCTGGTTCCTAATCCAATACATTTGGCACCGGCAGTGATCCAATAACGATGCTCACAGAGAAAGGGGGAGTGTTATCACTCAAATACACTTGAATGTACAGTCTACAGGGGACACCACATGTTGCATACTTTTAGAAATTTGGAATTGACCTTCGCCAGGAGGAAGCAGTTCGAAAATGGATGGATGGATATTTCTGCCTGTGACTCCTCTAGGGGGAGAATGAGCACCAGCAGACACGCACACCATCAAGAGCCACGGTGCCTTACAGGTGAGCTGGTTTCCACTTGACAAGCAGCGGTGCTCTCGGCTATCACTGCAAGCCTAAGAGCACCCCACAGGTCTCGGGAGACGTGGTTTCAAGGGAAATAGAGGAGAATCTGACCAACGACTGCCCACATTACCCAGGCAGCACTCTGACAATTGTGTGCCAGTTTCCTTTGGGTAACCCTTGTCTGAACTGGCTGAGCTGACCCAGGTTCGAACCAGAGGACTATTCCCTGGTTACATCACTTGGGGATCCCCAACTTTGCGTTGGCTTTATGCAAACCTTTGTAAGTTTGGTTTAAAGGAGACTAAGGATTTATAAACCACTGCCACAGCTACAGGTGTCTTAAATTGTGGGGGAAACCCTGCATAGTGAAGACTCTGAAAGGCCTGTAACAAACCATACAACCAGGTAGTCAACTGCATTGATGTAGTAAAACCCTGATAAGGTGCTGAGAGAGATTCCGTACAGGAGTTCCCAGTGTCCTGAAAGAAGTGTAAAACCATGTCCGGTCACAAGAACCCCTTACCTCGCCCTTTATGAGATCACGGTGCCTCTGGCAGTACACCTTCTTGTCCTCCAGGAAGACGCAGTGCCGCAGGCGGGCACACATGAAGTGGTAGTTACTGGTACAGGAGGTCAGGCAGCAGCCCACTGTGGCCCCAGGTCTCTGGCAGTGCTCACAGCGCTGGCAGGGTGGAACAGGACAGCCATGAGCCCGGGATTCACAGAGCTTGACAGAATGGCTTGAAACGCTATTCACAGACTTGAGTGCCGTATTCCCCAAGGTTGCACACACATACAGTGAAAGGAAACCATAAAAGAATGGTTTATCAACAGCTGACAACTCTCAGCTCTGGAAGTGAAGAGGAAACCTGCTTACAGCAGGCTTGATGTCTGTGGGCTCAAGCTTCCCACCAGACAAATTTCTCACTGCATGCTTAAAGAATTGGAAATGATAACCATTTCACAGCTGATTTCCATAAGGAAAACCAGGTGCCGTGTCTTCATCCACACGCCCAAACTGGCAAGAAATTGGATCCCAAAAAGCTCTCGACTGCCCCCTGCCCAGCTCGTACCAGCTGTTTTCCCCGGATGACAGCCATGTGGACATTCTTCAGTGAGCCATCGTCATCCTCAAACACCTCCGCCGACCACAGCGCACAGTTGACGTGGGTCCATTCGTTCTGTCCAATGTACAGCAATCTCCCACCATCCTGAAAACAAAAAACAGCACCCGTCAGCAGGCTTTGTCCAGAAAGGACACAGGGCAATCTTCAAATAGTCATTCCCATTCCAGTATACAGTATATACAACCAGTCTATAGTATATATACTTCCAGCATACAGTATATACAGCTCCTTTTTTTTAGCATATATTTGTATGTCCTTTTCAACCATCAACTGTGGCTTAAAACCGGGCATTATGACATTAAAGGCTGATGATGCTATGCAGTCAGTGAGGCGGTGGTGCCGTCTGTGGGCAACAGCAACACTCACATTGGTGTTGTCGTCGCCGTACTTCAGACACAGGACGCACTGCCTGTTGTCGCTCACCCCCGGCGGGGGGGCGAGTTCGGGGCTGTCCTCTCGACTGAGGTCCGCACCTGACAGGAAAAACACAGAGACGTCAGCCTGTTCTGGAACAGACACAATACCACACTCGAAGTGCACGCTTCTCCAACGCCTGCTCCGGCGCCAGGCCCCACGCTTTCTGTGGGGCAAGCTCGTTCTGTATGACAGGAAAAGCAACCTTCCCAGAGTCAATCCAACCTGACCCCGTCCCCCCCCCAAAAAAAACTGCTTTTTTGCCATTACAAGTAAAGGGCTTTGAGTGGAGTGTCCAGAAAAGCGCTATATAAGGGTAAGAAATTATTATTATTATTAGTTTCGAAGGCATGCTGTGTACAGTACAGCATTCCCAAGGTCCAAGGTAGGAAAACATTGTAAAGGCATGGTACAGCCATACAAATGCTAAATTGTACTATGGTAAACTTAACACAACAAGTTTTCCAAAGGGAACCTTTGCTCCAAGGTGTTGACCTGTTGAGCAGGCATTAAACCCTACAGCAGCAAAAACACGCCCTCCCTTGCATACACTCAGAGTCTCTCGTCTTCTACAGTGTAACAGCGGCACAATATCCTTCCTTGCTCTGTTAAATTTTCCCTCTTCTTTCGGGTGTTCTCACCACGAATAGGCGGGGGAGGCGGGGGTGGCGTGGGCGCGGGGGAGTCGGGGTCTCCGGGCCCTTTGGCGCGGGGCGCAGGGATGATCTTCTTCATGGGCGGTGGCTGCTCGGCTCGGGCGATGTCCTCCCGCTCCTGCCACTGTGCATAATTGTGGTCGAGAGAGGGGGGCAGCACTGCGTTGGGGAGCAACCCACTACTGCAGGGAGAGAGAGAAGAAGAGATGGGGAAGCACAGCCCATTAGAATACACTGCTGGTCCGGCAGATTACAGGTTAGCCTTTCTGCACAGGAAACGAACAGCTAACACCTTCAGGCAACGTTACGGTCATGCTACATCGCTGTACAAACCACTTGCCAACTTCAGATTCTTCAGTAAAGCTGCATAAAACAACTGTATATATCATAATCGGTAAGAAAAAACGTTTTTAGTTTATATTTATCCTAAACGTCAAACAGCTAGGTTTTGAAGAAGCCCAAAAACCACAATACACACATCAAGGCTTGCATACTATAAATTACTCAAAACATGACCCAAAACTGGAATATGTCTCTTATTCCTTTGTAATTGGCACTGACAGAAAGAGCTATTTACTTTCATTCTACCTTGACCTTAAATTAGTACACTTAATATTAAAAATGTCAACAAGGTGACCTTTGTGTTTTTCCCCACCTGTCCTCTATGTAAGCTAATACTCAACAGAACATTCAGTGTCCCCAAAAGCAATCGGCACTGTTCTGCAGGAAAACAGCTACCTCTGTGTACAGGTGCAGACAGGAAGGGCACCGTGCAGTCCCTGGAGGGTCTGAGTCTCAGCCCTGGGGTAGCAACCACTGAGCAACAGACCACACAACACGCCCCACTCCCACTGCTCTTCAGCACGGGCAGCAGTGTTCTCCCAACGGACAGCCCCAGTCCTTGAAGGACTGCAGAGAACTCCGGTTCTCATTCCGCCTCTGATCGTGATGACTTACCAAGCAGGACACTCATTTGAGACAGACAACAAACGAACAGACAAAGCGCAAAATCTTCTTGCACTTCTCATCTTGTATTAGTTTTGCAGGGTATTTGTAAACTTTGAATAGACTGTGACCTCTAAATCCCATTCCAGAATTCATTTGCTGAGGGACTGAGGAGTCATGAAACGGACCCCATACCAGACTTCAACAAAGACCATGAGCTCTTCTCTTCATTCTATAGAGATAATCAAATGTTTAATCAGCATGTCTTTTGGGGTGCAAAACGGCACTTCTTAATCCACAGAGCTGCTGCTATTTGAAATACAGTGACTACATCGACGTTGTAGAAGGTGTCGCGCTGGGAACGAGAGACGGCTCGTTTAATTAACAAACGATCAAGTAATGAAATGAGAGACTCGCCACAGGCTTTTCTCCTGGTCCCATTTGGAATTTCCCATGCCTATGGAATCCTCACAGCAGAACTTGCGGTGATGCCTCCAGAGCTCTCTGCCATGACAACAAAGATCATACTCACTTTGAGGAGATCTTGTTCGGCTCCCAGAACCGGGACTCCTTCACCTTGAACCAGGGGAACACCCTCTCCATTTGCTGAAACACAACACAGCCAAGGTCACTTTAAACGTCAACAAAGGAGCAAGAGACCTGAGTCGGCTTTATAAGAGGACATATGAGAAACTTTCAGAGCAGAAGAGAGTGGGCATTATCTTTCACATCATGCTTGCTATTTTCTACCACAGAAAGCATTTTTAATAACTACATAAGAGCTGGAAATTAACAGCCAATGTTGGTCTCTTTTATTCACACAACACAAAATACCAGGTATCCTCTCCTCCCTCTAGGTTCAACAGCAGATAAAGTGCTAACAGGATAATGGGCTTCTCAAAGACATCTTACATAAACTGGTCAATGGACAATGAGCAAATTCTGCATGGTTTTGAAGATAAGAGAAAGCAGTTGACCACACAATCCCTTTTTTTTCCAAGCCACACTACTTTCTGAGACTGCCTGGTTGCAGTAAGTAGTAAGTAAGTAAGGCCCACCCCTAAATGTCAGCAAAAGATGACTGATGAAAAACAGTGACGTGAGATTTGCCACTGAAGACCAGGTGTCTTCACTTTTCAGACCAGACTCTCCACTCACCCGGATGAAGAAGCACTTGACCATGCTGTTGGCCTTCTTGTTTTCTGGCTGACCCCCATCCGAGTTTATGGCCGTCTGAATGATCTTCACAATGTCGTCGCTGAACTCCAGCTGGAAGCACACGCCCAGACAGACAGGAGAGCTTTACCTCTGGACTCCCGGTTCGCCACACAGAAGACAAATTTATCTGCCCCAGGTGCTCCGGCCTATTCGTGGAAACACTCACACCCCAGCCTGTGGCTGAGGTGGCCTGTGTGGTTGTAAACTAAGAATGATTCATTTTTGCATAATGACTGGTATGACCGCAGGGACAAAACATATGTGAATGAATTTTTTTAAAAAAACCAGGGAATGTCACGGACACCTAATAGGAGAAGGACAAAAGAAAAGGGAGAAAAGACCCAGAGAAAGCTGTGCTAGAGTCTCCTGCTCTCTGGCCTTTGTCAGTAGTGTCTGGGTGTCTGAAAGCAGAGACTCACCACAGCGTTGTACCGGCCCGTTTCCATCTTCCTCTTGACAGACTCCAGGTCCGGGGGCGAGTCGTTGGGGGGGGACACCTCAGTGAGGACGGGCGGGTCGGGTCCCTCCGGAGAGCTGCGGGATGGGAGGCTCTCCTCCGGCTCGGGGTTCAACTCTGGAGGCTTCATCACTGGCTGCAGGGGAGCAACCAGGGGTCAGGGTGGGCGGTCAGAAAAGGGGCGCAACAGAGGTCAAGGGGAGGGAGGGTACGAGAGCCCAGAATGCGAGTGTGCTGGGATGTTCCAAAAGTTTCTTTAAATCCAAAAGAGGCTATGCGCATTGATTCTGCTGGAAAGCGCTGCGTATTGTGGTCAGTGGAGGGGCTGGGGGAGGGGCACCGGGTGTGTTTGTGAACGCATGAATCCTTTTCCGTTTTTTCTACTTAATCATCGATCAAGAAGATGCCACTCAGTTCACCCGTTCTCTCAGCTGCCCAGCTGGGTTTGGGCTCAGAACAACATAACTATGGTTCACCTCACTAATCCAAGTGCTTTAAATCACGGTAAAAAAGCACAGTTGGTCGGAATATTATCTGGGAAATGCAGGTTGAGCTATGCGTCCCAGTCTGGGGCATGTAACTGGCCGACGGTAACTGGGATTCCCTAAATGGACAACTGGTTGACTGCAGTCCACGCAGGACTGGGATTAGCCAGCCAAAGTCATGTCAGCCACTGGCACATCCGTGACTCCGCCTTTCCTAGAGTGAGACACGCGGCTAGGTGGCTGGCGGGGGAGCTTGCGCGGCGTCCCGCGACTGACAAGGCCCCCCCCCCGGGAGAACTGACCTGACGGTAGCGCAGCAGGTGCGTGGAGGTGCGGGAGTTGAGCAGCGCGGTGAGGACCTGCCGCACCGAACCCTGCAGCTCCTTCTCCAGCGCGGTCCTCCACTCCGCCGGGTGGCGCTCCGTGCAGTTGATGCAGGTGTAGGCGATGCTCTCCGGGAGGTTCGACAGCATCTCGTACATCTCATCTGCAACAAACACCAGGGGGCGTGAATGAGGGCGTCCACGTGAACAATGGACCTCCAATCTCCAGTTTGCCGTTTTTCCTCTCCTAACATTGGGTCTCTGCTGCCAAATGGATTTCTGCTTCTGCACATTGGGGAGCTTTCCTCCTCCTTCCGCTACACAGCTCCTGCAGAAGCCTGCTGTGAGAGGAGAAAGTCACAAGCTCATACTAACTCCGCATGAGTCTGAGTCATCGTTCAGGAAATTCTGAAGTGGCTGCCTGCTCGTTAGCCCCGATTCTTTTGCATGCAATCAGCAGTGCTCCCCATTTATACAGCAACCTTATCCGCTCTTACTGGTCAGAAAGCTCCATATTGTAACTGACTCAATGGGCATCATCAAGAATTACCAGACTGTAATTTCAGACTGTGTGGCTCGTTATTTGCAGCCCACCACTAAAGACTGAAGAAAACCCTCACTTGAAGAAGGCTCCACAGCCGTAACGTTATGTTTTTCTTTTTCCTTTCCAGCATGGAATAAACTTTTATCTGTAGTTTTGCGGCCAATGTATGCTGACACAGCTACCTCCTCAAACTCCTAAAGACAGCATGGTCAAGCTTCCATTATTTCACAGAGAGGCTGAAAACAAAGCTATATCTCTCCCCATATTCTGTATAAGTCTGGGTAGTGTGGGACATGCACAGCCTGCTCCCTTCACCATATTAATCAAGGCATGACAATTATATTTCAGACCCTACTTGTGACTTACATGGAGCAACATACATTACTAGACTGGTCAGCCAGCAACGGTCAGTCACACACCGACCACAGTCAGCCCATTACCTGTGAGATTCTCGCACTTGGCGTGAACCCAGCGGTCACATTTCCCACACTGCATCATCTTGCTTTCGTAGTCGTCGTCGTCGTAGCACTTGTCGCACACTGGGCAGAAATTACCTGCGGACACGAGTGGGGAAAAATACCACGTTCAGATTCTGATGTGCTGCGGCGTGACAGGAAGAATGTCACCCTGGCCCAAACTTTGCTGCATGGTGTGCTGCCATCATGACCTCCACCTCACTGTGTTAACCCGGTGTCCAGTCCAAATTTCCCCCTGGCCTTTACAAATCATGGCCTCTTAACAATCCTCATCTATGAATTGGCTTCATCACTTCATCATCCTCCCCACTGAGAGCCGATGTGTGTTGAGCATACTGGAGCACTCTGGCTGCCATCGCATCATCCAGGTAGGGGTGACACATTGGTGGTGGCGGTCGTGGGATTCCCCATTACCTGTATAACGTTGAGTGGATTGTCCAGAAATGAGCTATATAAAAGTGTAAGGAGTTAGTATTAGTAGTAGTAAACTATGGCTGCCTGGCTCACCTTTTGCAAAGAGTTTGGCACAGTCGTGACACAGGGAGAAGTCGTGTGACCACTGGGCGTCCCAGGACTTGCCGGGGGTGGTGGAGCCGCAGCTCTTACAGCGGACACACTTGGTGCAGATCTGCAGGACAGAACAGAAGGCACGCGGCGGGCGTTAATGCAAAGGCCCCCAGAGACACAACCAGAGCTCAGACATAACCCAGGTTCCTAGTGTACGTTCAGACATTTCTTAAAAGTTTCCAGCCAATCAAGAGCAAAAGAATCTCCCCTTTGGGAGCTTCTATGTCTTTTACCTAAGACATTTGTTTTGCAGGACAAAAAAAAACATTTCCTGACAAGTTCCAGTTCTCTTACAGAACTGCGGATGTGTTCTGCTCATGCAAGTCAATGCAAACGTCACTGTCACAGCGACCAAGCTACAGCTATGTACAAATATTGTTGGCTCTGCTGGCGATACTGCTCCTTAGGCTGAAGTTAAGTACTCAATATAGATCACTGAAACACCCATACCTTCCAATTATGTACAGAACTATAGTGAAAAATATCTTACTTTGGCATATTGGAATATGAGTTAATTTCTTGTTCTAGTTAGCTGCTATATCTTATTTAGTCCACTTATCTAATTTAGTTTAGTTATCTAGTTCTAGTCAGCTGCTGTATCTTACTTCTTCATGTTCCATATCATATTACTAATAAAGGAATCGGCTTGTGTTCTTGTCCAGATGGATACACGTCTGTGAACCATGGCGTGGAACTGTGCTCACTCATACAGCTGTGCTGCAGAGCCCGTTTCAGGCAGCCTGTCAGCTCTCGGGAATCTGGCTTGCCGATTCAGCAGCTCCTGGCAGCGCGTGTGAAACACTGTACTTGCCCAGATTCTCTTCTTCTTCGTGGGGCGGGTCGGGTGGTTGGGTCCCAGGCACTCGGGGTGATAGCTGTTTCGGCACTTATTGCACTCCAGCAGCTGCTGCTAAGGGACAGACCACACACAGGCACAGACTGTCAATCCCACAACCACGCCATTAACCGTCTTTCTGTATCCCAACTGTTAGTATTCGCTGTGAAATTACAGAACGCTTCTAATGTTCAATGAATTAGGAAGGATTGTCGAGATGAACAGCAATGCTTCTTCCTAACTCCATTTGTCATCATATTTGAGCATTCCCCAAAATACACGCCCATTTGAAGATCGGAATGACAAGACCGCCAGGCAGCAGGGCGCGCCCTCTCCTCACCTTGGTCTTTTGGTGCTGACGGCCGCAGACGTGACAGAAGCGGCAGCGCCGGCAGCACCAGTTCTCCCACTGCTCCTGTAGGGGGCGCTCTGTCTCATCCAAGCAGAAAAGATGAAAGGGCTCGCAGCACACCTGGCAGAACACAAACTGGGGAGAGAGCAGCACATTCAGTCCAGCACGGTGAGCAAGCTCCCTTATGTGACTGTCTTTTTCACATTTTGTTTCTACACCCATTTGAGGTGTCAGCAGACTGCCTACCAGTAACTTGACCAACCAAATAATATCAATATGAGGCACAGCAAAAGCTCAGTTCCACAAACTATGAGGCCCAGTCCCTCACCTAAAACCATGAAAACAAGCTAACAGAATCAGGGACTGATGTCACACAGTGCTTTACTGCAAAAAAACAATCAACATTACTGTTTGTGGAAAAGAAAGGTGAAATAAAATTACATTACGAACAGCACAAAAAACAGAGCTACACCACTGGAAAACTAAATCAATGGACTGCTATACACTTCAGTGTTATAGCGGCCCATTGTTACTGTTAAGTGTGTCACTGAAGAAAAACCGGCATCTCTCTGATTTGTTTTTCCCTTCTTAAGGAATGTGGACAGTAACAGAAGGGTTGCCCAGTGTCTGGTGTCTGGGAAGCACAGGGCCGCACTCCTGCCCCAGTCTCACCTCTACATGGCCACTGCTGGCACACAGGAAGCAGATGACCCTGGGGGTGATTGGCACAGAGGTGAGGACACTGAGCCCGCCCATCTCCCATACATTGTCGATGTCATAGTCCTCCTGCAGAGAAAAACCACACAGGCTTTCAGCAAGGCCTGTCCCATAGCAACAGCACTCAGCATTGCCCTTAGGACTGCCACACAGGGAGAGACTGCACAAACAGAGATCGGGCTTGTTCGTTTACTATCACGCACATCTCAGTTTTTATCTCGCTGGCAGTGTGTGCACCAAATGACTGTCAACAAAACAAAACGAGCCTCGTTTCTTAAATAGGTGAATACATTAGAATATTTTAACTGCAAGTTGCTAGGATGAATGGGTGTGAGGTGAAAATGAAAAAGTTTCATTGACATATAAGTCTTAAAATGCATGCACATTGGGGAGCTTTCCTCCTCCTTCCGCTACACAGCTCCTGCAGAAGCCAGCTGTGAGAGGAGAAAGTCACAAGCTCACAAGCTCATACTAACTCCGCATGAGTCTGAGTCATCGTTCAGGACATTCTGAAGTGGCTGCCTGCTCGTTAGCCCCGATTCTTTTGTATGCAATCAGCAGTGCTCCCCATTTATACAGCAACCTTATCCGCTCTTACTGGTCAGAAAGCTCCATATTGTAACTGACTCAATGGGCATCATCAAGAATTACCAGACTGTAATTTCAGACTGTGTGGCTCGTTATTTGCAGCCCAGCACTAAAGACTGAAGAAAACCCTCACTTGAAGAAGGCTCCACAGCCGAAACGTTATGTTTTTCTTTTCCTTTCAGCATGGAATAAACCTTTATCTGTAGTTTTGCGGCCTATGTGTGTACTCCATGCAGTAACAATGGGGCTGCCACTGCTCACCACCAAGCCTCACTGACTCCTTCCAAGTGTTCAGAATGTGGTTCAGGGTGGCCGCAGGCCTCCTACCTTAAAATCCACTCTGATGCGATGCACTCCGTCGTAGGGCGGTCTCTGCTTGGCGCCGCCTCCAGTCGAGGGAGTGCTCAGCAAGTTTAAAGTACTGCTCTCGGGCTTGGTGGACGCGGGCTTCTCCTACGGACAGGGGAGGTAGGACAAGGGTGAAGGGAGCCCCAGGAGGCAAACAGCACCTCGGAGCTACAAGTCCAACACTACGCTGCTCTACGGACGTGATAAACTGGCACGGGGTTGCAGAGGACTTTGAAACCATGACCGTATTGAAGCCTCCCCTGCAGACAGAAACGCTGAAACCCTAAAGCAACATACTTTACCCAGGGTGCCTCACTCCATGCTCCAATACAATTAGGAGTCAGCACCTGCTGTGGGTGAAACTGCAATTATCTGGCGTCCCACCCTTATGCTCTGCTAGCTCTCTATGTGCAAATAATAAATCACGAAAACGCATGAAACTAAGGCCAGCGAGATTCAACCAACGGAGGCCAATATGTTTAGCTCAGTTTAACACGAACAACCCCAGTCCCTGAAGGTCACGTAGTTTCCTGGCTTTCTGCTTTACACTGCTTCACTGCCTCGGGTTTCCGTCTCACTTGAACAAATTGAGAGCACTGCAGGTTCAAAGTGGAAAGGGATCTCAAGGTATCTGCATACCCTCCTGGCCCAAGGGCAGCCCGGACACTGTGCTCAATCTTCTCAGCCCTGCCCTAAACTGTGAGTCCCCCCTCTCTCACCCCCAGGGGGCACGCGGCGGTGAGGTTAGGGGAGGAACAGCATGGCACAGTTACCTTTTCTTTGGGTTTCTGCTTGGGCGGCGGGATGCATCGCATGCCCTGCTTCTTCGGCTGTTTCACCTCCAACACTGAAAAAGCATTTGAAAAGACAAAAGAAAATAGTTCAAGCACGCAGCAGGGATACTGCACACCACCTCCGCAGAGACATACGGAAGAGGCTGACAAGTGAAACCACTGTAGAGGGCTACCCGCATGTGACAGCGCTGGTGATCTGCAAAAAGCAAAAAGATTCCTGAAACTCCCTGCTTGGAAAGGCCTTAGTTGGCCTTAACGTCTGTAGTCCAGCAGTTTCCAGTACTTCCTGACTTATGCTGCACTTTTTCTAGGCATCTAGTATTTAGTGGACAAGGAAATGACAACCTAACCACAAAAGAACAACATAACAGTTTCTTAAGAAACTTTCTTAAGCCCTGACCTGGTTCTGTCGCTGACGGAGTCGAGCTCGGCTGCTGCTGCTTCTTCTTGAGTTCGCTTGGAGGGGTCTTGCTAGAACCCTCCTTTTTTGACAGCGCTGGGCTTTGCTGGGGCTGGTGCTGGGAAGGTGGCGTCGGCGGTGGAAAAGGGGTAATGTGGGGAGAGGCAGGCGGGGGGGTAGGCTGGGGTAGTTTGCGTTCTTTCCTGGAGGCGCCACCAGGGGGCGCCACGGGCTGCTTGGTGTCCTGCGGCAGGGCGGAACTGGGAGGCTGGGAAGCCTCTTTCTGAGACGGGCTCGGTGGACGAGGTGGAGGCTGTTTCTGCTTCTGCTCGCTGTGCTTTGGGGGAGGGGTTTCGCTCTTTTTAGGAGTGGGCTCCTCCCTCGAGGGGGGCGGGGCTGGCTTCTGATTGGTCTCTGACGACTGAGTCTTGGCGGAATGCGGCGGCTCCTTTTTTTCCTGCGCTTTGGTCTTCTTCTTCTCCTTCTTTGCTGCTGGAGAGGAAATAAAAAAAAATGAATGGAGCGCCAAAGAAGCATGCGGCAAAGCAGCTTCATCATCAGTGGGTAGATCTGCAGTGGGTGTGATTACAGAACTCTCTAAAAAGTTACCAATAATGTATGGCATGGCAAGAACAAGAAAACAAGAACAAGAACGATGCTGCTGAGATCTCATAAAGTAAAGAATGTGCCTCATTGTAATACAGGCAATGTGACACAGTGATGTAATTTGACCTTTAAAACTCACTAGCCAGATGGGCTATCGAACACGGTAATGTGGAGACCCATGTATCTACCAGAGCAATCTGAGCAAAGATTAGGACACAGCACCACCCTACCCAGGATTTGAGCACCACGACCTTCTGGGTCAGAGTCCAGACCCCTGCTTCACATTACTACCCTACCAAGTCTGTTTCAGGTTAAAATATGAATCAGAACCACAATCACATTCAATACTCATCTCCTTTGTACAGTGAGCTTCGTGAACTATCACTGCTCCATGAATACCTTAGTACTCTTCAAACATACTGTAGATACAGCTTTTATCTGTAATGGTAATAACATAAGCTGCAGGCAATACTGGACCCGCAGAGCTCTCCGATCCTGATGGGAATATTAATGCCTTGAAACACATTAACATGGGAAACTGACACGTTTTCAGGCCACTGACCTTTCGCTTGTTTCTGAAGGTATGCTTTTGAAGGCATCCACTGGAGATTCTGACACTTCCTCACCCTGGAAAGGAAAAAAGGGAGAGGAGATTGCTTTATCCCCAGGTAGCCCTCGACACCTTCTTGTCTTCAAAGTGCACCTAGTTTCATGTGCAAACTCGCCAGGAAGTTGAGCCGTGGTTCCGCATGCGATCACTGGATTTCTTTTTTAATGGTTATGGGGGAATAAAAGATAAAAAATACAGATCGCAGAATTCTGAAAATGAACAGCTGATGAATTCAGATATATCTAGCTTTTTTTTCCCCAAATCTCAGGTCAACTGCAGGGTTTTGTCATAGACCGGGGTATTCAGACCTGGTCCTGGGTCTTCATTCCAGCCGAGCTTAACTGCTTCACTGAATCAATAACTGCAATCGAACCAATACGTTTCTCAATCAGAATATTTGTGCGTTATTTTCTAATAAAAAATGTGGGTTCCGCTACAGATCTATGAAATGAAACAGTTAAACGACGACCTCTGAGAGCTGGGAACAGCCAATGAATCCTCTTGAATGAAAGAGAGGATAAAGATATAGGAGGATGGAAAATAAGAGGATGAGGATAGAAAATTCCTTAAGTGAATCCTCTTCTGAAGTCAGTTAGGGGTTCGACTGACTAAACTGAGAGCTGAACAGGACTGGGAACCCCTGTCCCACACTGCGTTCAACACCGGACAGACAACACCCACTTGCAGCACTGTTTCTTGATGTTCCGTCCCCCGAATTTGGGCTTGTCCAGGCAGTTGGTGCAGACGCCGCAGTCCTCGGGCACCTGGCACCCAGGGCACTGCCCGCAGCGCCGCGAACGCCGCCCCTTCTTCACCGGCGGCTCCTGGGGGGCCTTCTGGCGCGTCACCGGCTTAATGGGCTTGACTGGGGGGGCCGGGGGCTCGGCTTCTTCGGAGCCCGCCACCGACGACTTGTCTGCGCGGAACAGAGGGGAACAAGCCTTCGTGTTAGTGAAGCCCACTCGAAACACTCGAAACTGCTGCAGCTCAGCTATAACTTTGAGCCTCTGCTTCAATTCAAGCACCGAACCAGGCCTCTACTCTCTATACTTCCAAAATAGTGCTAAATGTTTAAGAGCACATCCTTCCAGGAGGTAATTAACAGGGGGGTAACAAGAGGTCTCGACGTGATGCGGCCCTTCCTGCTCACTAGTCCCTGTAATAACTCATGTAATGAGATGTCAGAGCAAATAAGTACAGGTTGTGCAGTAGACATTCACCGCAGAAATATTCTATCATGTCATCTGCGTGCAGAGTTAACAAGTGAGTAGTATTTTTCAGGACTCTTGAAATCAAGAGCAAAGTTTCTATTGGATTAAAAGAAATGTATTCAAAACCCTGATTGTTTACAATGTCAGAGGGCCGGATCACGTCACCAGGAGTTTTGTTTTGCCTTGTTCTAAATCACAGAACATGGGCTGCGCATACCTGGAAATGTTATAAACTGGAAGCTACTGTGTACATTTTACTGTCATTGTGGTTTGAAATGCACTCATCCATGCCGATTCTTTCTGTCCCCAAATATAAAAACAGCACTGCAGGTCCCCTTTAAGGGTGCGGTAAAGGAACCCAGTTTCGAGATCTCACCATCATTTCCCATGGAAGACAGGATCTTCTCCCTCTCCTCCCATGGCAAGGCACTGAGGGTGGGCATGTCGTCCGGAAAAACAGCTCGGTTCCGGCCCAGAGCCACGGCCGCCCGCCGGCAGACGTGTTTGATGCGCGGCCCGCGAGCCGACGTCTCCGAGGAGTCGCTCTCCTGGCCCTGTCGCAACGTGAGAGAGTGCACGGAGTAAAGAGCTGTGACGTTACAAGCGCACGCAAGGAAACACGTGGCGAAACCAGCTACAGCTCCCTTCAAGCTTTACAACAGATGTTGACATTTCTGAATCATCCTTTTAACAGGTGTCGAAAAAACAGAGAGAATGTACTGTCCTTAACACATCGACTGGATTGCTTTTCCCTTTTATTTTCTGCAGACAAATGTCCAAGCTACATTGCAAAGTTATGGTGGGCATTTTAAAAAGTAGGAAACCTGAACCACCTGTGAAGGGGACTCTCCCAGGTGACTGTACCCAGCAGGGTGGGAGCTGGGATTAAACAGCCAAGAACTTGTAGTGATGTCAGAGAAAGCTGTGCTACCCCTCCAGTCACAAGCTCTCCTGTCACACAGTATGGAGCCTGCCGAGTGTCAAATTACAAACATCTCTTGTGTGTTGGAGAGACATAATCCTATCCCAAGTGTGCGTGGCATAACGTAACACAAGTGTGGACAAATTGGGAAGGCAGATCTGTAAAAAGAGATCTAAACAATAAATCCCAATCCATAAACAAGATAGATCTTAATGAATACAGTATCTACTAGATTAAATTACACAGATCTGAGGCACTGTTTTTATTATTTTGTAGGTTTCCGCATTGAAACAGGATGCATGTTTCTTTTCTTTTTTGATCTTCAGCCCCACCCCACCCCACACCCCCCCAAAAAAACACCTGGTCTAATCATTTCAGAACACTGCAGCCTGCAGCTACTGGAAAGCAAAGATGCTGCCCGATGCTCTTTTCAGTTTCAACTGAAGCACTGCTAGTTTCACTACAGATCTCAGCAAACTGACTGCTTTTCAAATGACTGGGCTGCACAACAGGCAAGTTGGAGCATGTCTGGACAAGTGGAACACCTGGAATTACCACTAGAAAACCCCCCAAAATAAAATAAATGGCACATGCTTATTCCGCAGTGGCTAGAGGTCGGGGAGGAGAGAAGTTTTTAAAAGGGCACCACAGACAACAAATTCCCAGCTTTGAGGGTGTTAACACATTCGGTGAGCCCGACGGGTGTTTGCCAACAACTTACCTGTGCTTTGGGCTGGTCAGCCGTCTTCAAGGACTTGTTCTTTTCAATCTTGTACAGCTGTGCCTTTGCCTTCTTCAGGAGGCCGGCCACCCTCCTGTCTGCCACCTGCTGCTTTTCCACCTGGGCGAGCATGGACCCCAGGGAGGGCACTGGGGCCTGCTTGCTGGGCGGGCCAGGCTGTGGGGTTTGCTGAGCTGGGGCCTGCGAGTGACCTTTCGCCTTCTCCTTCTCCTTCTCGCCAGCGTCGGCCTCCTGGCCCTTCTCCGTCGACCTGCCCTTCTTGGAAAGGCGGCCCTTGGTGGTGGGAGGAGTGGTGGCTGCATGGGACGTCCCATCTGGAGGCCCCAGAGACGGAGGTGCCTCGTTACTGGGGTCGAGAGAGACGGGTTTCTTCCTGCCGGGAGTCTTCTTAGGGGCAGAAGGCGCAAGGGGTTCCTCACTCTCCTTGGCGTCCAGAGAGAAGAGAATGGGCGCCGAGTTGGCCTGCGTGGCTGCCTCTCCTCCAGCACCCTTGCCTTTCCTCTCCCGCTCCTTCCGGGCCTCCTTTTTATTCTCCTTCTCCCTTTCCCTGGGTCTCTCTGGTTCCCTCTCCTTCTCCTTAGGGCCCGACTCTCGGGATGCCGAGACGCCTCTCTCCCTGCTCGCTTTTCCTGTTCCTCCCGTGGCCGGGGGGCTGGTGGCGAAGAGAGGGAAAAGCGAGGACGAGGAGACGGAAGGGCTGCTTCCCACTCCCACTCCGGAGGAGAAGGACTCTCCTGCTCCTCCCAGGCCCCCGGTCTGTCTCCTGCTGCAAGTCTGATAAGAGTCCGCTGTCCCCTCGGTCGGGTGACCCATGCAGCCTGGCGAGAAGGTGCTGAAAGGGGCAGGAGTTAAGGCACTGGTGGCTAGAGAACTGATGGCAACGCCTGGCAAGGAACTGGAGCTGCTGGTGGTACTTGTGACAGAAGCCGCCAAGGGAGAGAGTTCAGCGGAGGTCTTGCCCACCTGGGTCCCGGACTGGCTGCTTCGGGTGGTCATGGAGTGCGAGGGCGACCTGGGTTGGCCCCGCAAGGGGCTGAAGACCCTCCTCCTCCTACACCGGCGCTGGTTTCTACTGGCAGAGGAGGAGGAGGAGGAGGAGCTCTGAAGAGGGGATGACAGGGAACCCTGGCCGCCGCCCTTGGAGGCCGGGAGGGTGACCGACTCAAAGATGCGGGAGTGCGCCTCGCTGGGGGTGAAGCGGGGGGCGCGGAGCAGGGGGCTGCGCTTGTGGAGCGACGGCTCAAACCGCGAGGGAGTATGGTCGTGCTGGTGGCGATGGTGGTGGAGGGGAGCGAAGAAACGGCCGCCGGCTCCCGCTGTCCCGCCGGACGCAGAGAAAGCCCCGGCTCCACTCCCACCGCTCCCACCCCCTCCACCTCCAGAGCTGGGGGACACCAGCCCCACATCTTCGGGGGTCAGGGGGGGTGGCCGGAAATTGTCGAAGATGGGCTTCCGGATGAGGCCCTCCTTGGCGTACTTTGCCGAAGAGAAGTACTGCTGGTCCGGGCGGGAAACGGAGGTCCAGCGGAAAGTGGGCTCCCGCAGGATTGACTTCCGCTTCTCCTGAAGAGGTGACACCACCGGCGGAGCAGAGATGAAGGGAGCGATGGGGTGAGGCATAATCCAGGGGGAATGCGGGTGAGGCTCCGCGATGGCAGCGGTCGTGGTGGAGCCCGGCTGCGGATGCTGTGGCGGCAAGGGAGGGGTGAGGAGAGGGGGCGGCGGGGGAGACGAAGACGAAGAAGCCGTGGAGGAGGCCTGCTGTGACCCCACCTGCGCCGAGGATGACAGCAACCCCACCACGGCGCCGCTAACTGTCGTTTTCTTCCCTGGACCGGACGAACCGCCCCCGCCGCCCGATGTCAACGTCCCCCTCCCGATCCCCTGCCCCCGACGGCCCCTCCTGCCTCTCTCTGGCTCGGATGGGGGGGAAGGCGGCCGGGAGACGCGAAGGAGCCCAGACTCCCTTTCGCCCTGGGAAGAAGGGGATTGGTCAGGCTCTTCGGAGAGAGCCTGGGTGCCCTCCGAGGCCTGGGAGTCGCTGGAGGAGTCCAGGCTCGGGCTGCTGGAGCGGGAGGACTCCCCCGAGGAGAGCTGCGAGGAATGCTGGGACACGGCACTGGAGCCGCAGGAGGCCGCGCTGCTGCTGAAACGCCCGTTGCTGGTGCTGTTGTTGCAGCTGCCGCTGTTGAGCAGGGTGGCGGCGGCGGCGGCGGCGGCCGCCACATTCACGCTGGGGCCTGGCGGAGGAGGAGGTGTGGGAGTGCTGGTAGAAGCAGCGGCTCCACCTGAAGCAGCAGCACTGGCAGCAGCAGTGGACACGGGCACAGAGGAAGAGGGCGGCAGAGAAGCCACCGTGGTGGGCGCGGCCTCCAGCCGAGCCATCTTGAGGTGGGGAGGGGGGGGGCCGAAGCTACCCTCGTCCTCGATGAAGCGCTTGGGTGTCTTGATGATCCTCAGGGAGACGGTGCTGACCACCGGCATGATGAACTGGCGGATGTTCTTCAGCTGCGTCCTCCTCCGCCTCCTGATGCCCGAGTCGATGCCGGCAGAGCCCTGGCTGCCGATGGCGGCGGCCTCCTTCTCGAGCATCTTCTTCTTCTGCGCTCCCTTCTTGGCACGCTGCAGCAGCTGCTTGGCGATGGTGGCATCGGGCCGCTTGGAAGGCGGGACGATGCGCACCGGCTTGATACGCCGGGGGCTCTGCCGGACCCCCACAGCCCTGCCTGACCCCGGCCGCGGAGGAGAAGTGGAGAGCAGAGAGATTGCGGACAGGGTCTGGGGGACAGGGCCAGCAGCGGTGAGGGCATCCAGAGCCTGCGAGGGCCTCAGCTTGAGCTGCTGGGGAGAGCCTGAATCCCTCTCCTTTCGAACCCGGAAAGTCTTTTGCTTGAGAGACGCTGCCTCCACGAGAGCCGTCTGCGGAGCGGAGGAGGCAGAGACTTGTACGGAGGAGGCGGCTGCGGCCTGAGCTCTGAGACGCTCGGCAGACGGCGGCCTCCCTCGCCTTCGCCTTGGCACCACTGGTACCGGGACTCCTTTCCTCCCGATCGCCTTGAGCCGGGACTTGAGGGGGCCCAGCTTGACACTACGCAGCCGCTTGATTTTGGTTATCTTGGAGATCCGCCCCATCCTGGGCAGCTTGGAGAGCTTGGCCACTCCTTGCTGCTGCTGGTGCTGCTGCTGCACGGACCCCAGGGGCGTCCGTTTCGCCGCCTTCTTCTCTTTCTCATCCTCCGCCAGGTCCCTGCGAGGGGCTTCCCCCAGGCTTTGCTGCAGTGCCACGCTCTTGTCCTCTGCCCCAGAGAGGCCCCTGGGCTGCCATTCCCTGTGGCCTCCAGAAGCTGGAGGGCGGCCTCTCCTCTTCTCTCCCGAGCCCGGCGGCCTCCCCGGTGGCCTCTTCACCTTTTCCGGGGGCCGGCCGGGGCCCTCCGATCTGCTGTGGGGAGAGGTAGCAGGCGAGGGAGAGGAGTCGAAGGCCGTGGCCTCCCTCTGCGTGGTCAGGATCCTGGGGGGACGGCCCCTCGGTTTTCTTTCCTGACGAGACTTGACTGCAAAGACAAGGAAAACAACACAAGAGAGCCCTTATTAAAGAGCAGTTATTAAATCTCGGTAACAAAACAAATGCAGCTCTAGAAACATTTCACACATTTCACACCAAGCACAGAATCGGGAACTTTGTGAAAGTCGCCACGTTGTCGCAAACTCGCATTCGAGTTCCCACGAATTGCGATGTGAAGCAGCCCTTCCTGCTCACTAGTGACATCTGCAGATGTAATGTGTTTTACAAGCAGATAAGTACGGGTTCTGCAGCAAATATTTCGCTGCAGAAATGTTCCAACATGATCTGTAGGCAGAGTTAACATGCAAGTTGGATTTGCCAGCAAAACTATCTCAAAGTTGAGAGTAATATTTCTATTGGATTAAAAGAGATGTATTCACAAGCCTGTGAATCACGCCATATGGCGCTGCATATACCTGGAAATGCAATCTATTTTGTGGTATAAATTGGAGGTCTTACGAGTTACATTTTACTTTTATTGTGGTTTGAAATGCACTCAATGCTGATTCTTTCTAACCCCAAAGTATAAAAACAGAGTTGCATTTCCCCTTTAAAGATTTCTCATTAAATATCGAACTGGGCTCAGGTCATTAGCACCTATTGCTTGAACCCATCAGAAACCTATCAGAAGTGAACCGAGATGCAGGCAATCAGCATTGTTCTGGGAAGACCACTTGAAGGAACCTCTAGTATCTAATATGGTATCATTAGCCAGCAGCTATATCTCTCTGCAACTCACAACTAGCAAACCACTGAAGTTAAGCTGGTGTGAGCCTGGCCAGTACCTGGATGGGAGACCTCCTGGGAAAAACTAAGGATGCTGCTGGAAGAGGTGTTAGTGGGGCCAGCAGGGGGCGGTCCCCCTGCGGTCCATGTGGGTCCTTATGCCTCAGTACAGTGATGGGGACACTATACTGTAAACAGGTGCTGTCCTTCGGATGAGATGTAAAACCGAGGTCCTGACTCTCTGTGGTCATTAAAAATCCCAGGGTGTTTTTTCTAAAAGAGTAGGGGTATAACCCCGGTGTCCTGGACAAATTTCCTCCTGGCCTTTATCCATCATGGCCTCCTAATAATTCCCATCTTAAATTGGCTTAATTACTCTGCTCTCCTCCCACTGAAAGCTGATGTGGGGTGATCGTTCTGGCGCACTATGGCTGCCGTCGCATCACAGGTGGGGCTGCACATTGGTGGTGGTGGAGGGGATCCCCATTACCTGTAAAGCGCTTTGAGTGGAATGTCCAGAAAAGCGCTATATCAGTGTAAGCAATTATTATTATTATTATTAGGGGGTAAGAACTGCTTAAGGAACATGCCTGTCACATTAGTGACAGCACTTTTGGATTCCCCCAATCCCAAAAAAAAACATGACCCAGATGTTTATGATGGGACAAAAAAAAAACTGAACAGTCCAAAATACCCCTGTTTTATCTGAATGTCAGTTCAGAAGAACTGTGAAAGGTCATAACAGGTCACGGACTTCACTGAAGCTCCATACCTGTAGGGCTCCTCGCCGAGCTGTGTATCCTTCTGTTTTCATGGTGCGTACCAAATCCTAAAAATGTCTCTTCCTAACGGAAAAAAAACAGAAGGGAACAACTCACATAATCAAGATATTACAAGGTGCATAACAATGACTTTCAAAATAGCACATACTGATGCACAAGGAAGACAAGGCACCAGGAATTACTAGTGTAGTGACGAATGGTTTGATGAAAAAATCTGAAAAGTTCTGCCATGGCCATTCATGAGAATCACAGAAGTATCAATTTTTTGCTGGACAGAGGCTGCTAAGGTTATGGTATGAAAGCTCTCGTTTCTGAACAAGTCATCCGTGCCTAAAACACCGAGCAAGAAATTAAATCCCCTTGACAAGTTGGGGAGGTCTGATGTTGCACTTGTCTGCTGACTCAATTGGTTTCTTTCATTCTGTTTCACAGAAGTTCAAGATTAGGCGCTGAACAGCTACAGTGACTTAAGCGCATTAAAATAGTCTTTTAAACTATATGACTCTGTCCTTTGTGCAAGTGAGGAACTGCAAAGAGCAAACAGAGAGGATCTTTTGTTCTGTCCTTCAGTTCAACCACCATCATCTCCTTTTCTTTATATTTCTGCTGACAGTTCATTTGCCTTGTCATTCTCAAGACAAGACCCTGTCTACCCCCATCACAACCCCTGTCAGAGCTCAAAAACCCCCAGCAGGAAACCAAAAATGGCCAATGCAGACCACAATCAAAGGGGCTTCCCAGTATAGTTTAACACATCAGAAACTGCACCAGGACAGCTCATTTTTGTAAACCACTGGCTTTTAACCCACATTATAGAAGAACAAAAACCCAGCTTTCTGTGGTCACGAAGAGCTGCTATCACGCCTGTACAAGACCCAGATTCTTCACTTAGTTTTATGTTGTTTTCTTACAGTGCATATTGCATTATATTGCATATTTTTCAAAACAGATTTCAAAGAAATCTGACTGTACATAACACGCACTCCTACATAAAAAAAACACTGAAAAACAACTTTAAAAAAATAAAACTTGCTGTCTAAAAGTCTTGAATCTCATCCAAGCCCAGATGGCCAGATGGCTCTCTGTGCCTGGAAAGGTGACACACTGTAAAATGCATTTACTCATGACTTTAGAAATTCAATCGTGCAACCGCTACAAAAGCCAAACAACAACAACCACCAGCTTTGGTCTCCTTTAATCAAGAAACGTATATATTTAAAAAAGCATCACGCTAAAATTTTGTAGGAAAATGGGAAGAATGATGAGAAGCAAACAAATGTTTTAAGATACTCCAACCAATGCTTGTGACTCATTGGTACATGATGAACCTTTAAAAATGGTGAAAATGGTTAAAAAAAAAAGTTACAGTTGCCCCTGTAACTCAAGGCTGATGAATAAGGACACTGTTCCTGCCTTTTCCCTGCGAGGCACTGAGGATGCTCAAAATCTTCACCCCTCACTCTCAGCGGCCAGTCACAGTTTTAGCAGGAGCAGCTCACTTGGCAGGAAGTCGAATCTGAGGATTCCCAGAATGCAACTGATGGCTGATTGCCACGGTGTTGGGAAGGGGCAAGTGGAGGGCTTTAACTCCTGTCCAGTCATATCTCTACACCAAGTTTATAAAACGAAACCTGTCGTAGACAATGGGCGTTAAAATACGCCCACGCAGAGTCGCGGTCTGTCGTTTAACAGTCCCAGCCAAGTCACAGACAACTTTGGTGCGGTTTGAGGTATACATTATCAATCGGGCCAGAATTCACTGACATCGACAAGCAATGATCCCTTTGCAAGAGGAGATAGTGTCCCGGCATTTTTTTTTAAAAAAGAGGCCACAGTCCACCACACACAATTAATCAATTAAAACAGACCAGGTTTTCACATCAACATGTGAATCAGCTTAAACTTTCATTAAACAGTGACTGGCGTGAAAGAGACTAGGCACAAACGAGCTCTCGTTACCCAGATGAGCTGTAGGAATATTTTTCTGATGGTTCTCATACAGAAATTCAGAGACTAGAAAATGAAAGTCAAGTCCCAGTCTTATCTGACTCTGATCTGGTGTATCAGGAGGCTGAGATAATGGCAGATGTGCACTTATCTTGTGGTTCAGGAGTAATTGGAAATGTAAGGTCAGGCAGAGATTATCCCAATGTAGGCATCTAGGAAGCCCTTCACTGAGCTCATTCACACTTCACTGATGGAAAAGCAGTTCTAATTCACCACCCCAGCAAAAGCGTGTAATCTTGTGCCCAAAAATATACATGTCATATTCATGTTTACGGGTATAATTAAAGGTACACTCTTAAAAAAACCCAAACAACATAAAATCAACATAAAAACTTGCTGGATCACCAGTAAATATATATGCAATACAATGCACATTCAAGGCCCCTCTGGACAATTCCCAATCAGTCAGATGACATCTTGTACCTCCAGCAACCTTAATTACTGCAGCTGCAGAAAATGCCCAGCTGTCTACATTGGTGAAACAGGAAGAAGAGTGGGAGACTGCTTCAGGGAACATGTCAGGGCTGTGAGGACCAAAGATCTCTTCCAAGCCCATTGTTTCTCATTTCACCTCTAAGGGCCATAATCACACTGATCTCTCCATGTTGTGTTTCTTTTCTTCTCTTTCAGCATGGAATACACCTTTACTTGTTGCTGTGCAGCCTACGCAAGCTGACGCAGCTCCCTACTTCAACATTAAATCACTTTGTGAAAAATTAAAGCAAGGGCACACTTTGAAATAAAATGTACATAAAAGAAGGCACAGCACAAGTATATTGCGATCTCTCCTGGATGTAGTATAAACCTGCATCATCACAGTGAAACTCAAAGTCCGTGAATACTCAGTACACACTGCTTCACCAGAGCTCAAAAGGATGTTCCTCACTTCAGCCACCAACAGCGAATTTTCCCCCCAGCACAGATGCCTGCTGTGTGATGTCACCAATTGCATCACGCAGCCTAGCAACAGCCGCTGCTACAGATACCTGTCTGAAGCTCAGAGGCCAGGTCACCTCACCGGGCGTCTTCTCTGCTTCCTGGGGAAAATACTGTAAACAAATCTCTCCGGCTCTGCTGCCAGGATGAACGAGCTGTGCCTCAGCTGTGCCTGCAAACCACCAACTAAGATTGAAAGGAAATAACGGTATTGGTTTTTATTTTGTCCTTGAAAGGTGTTCCTTTTCCTATACACTACTCACAGGGCCACACTGGAACTCCAGTTACCAGCACCTTCAGCAAGACTCTGTTCATATGAGCAACCTCAGTTTTTAGCTGCACAAATTCATTCCGACATGCTGCACTTAAGACTTGAAGGTATCACAGAAGCAGGAGGAACACTTTTTTTTTTGCCTTTTGAACTGCAACAACTGTGCACATATATTCACAGGAATTGCGAATTTCTCTTCGGTGTAAAGGGCGTTCTGGGGGGGGGGGCAGCCCATGCCCATCTCAAAGGGGGGGTGTGCCCACCCAGCCCCTGCGGGCCCTCAAGCTTGGCCACAGCTTTTCCCCAACTCGAACTAGATCACACTCCCAATAAGGGCCTAACTCGGGCCCACCAGAGCACCACGCTTTCCAATCCCTCCGGTCCGGAAACAACACGCAGTACGTCTGCAAGACTCCCCGTCCGCAACTCAGGCTGCAAGCAGGGCCAACTCGCTTCCTGGTTTATCGCACAGGTCTCTATACCCTCGCCCGGCGCCCCTCCTGTTGAAAAGAAACGATTAGGAAACACTGAACTGTAGGTCAAACATACCGCTGACAAGCACAAAGCAGCAGCTTTTAAGAAGGCCTGAAGTGCTCGGTGCCGTGCGTGAAGGGAGGGAGGAAAATCAATGGCCTGAAGTCTTTCTGACAAGCGGCCCTCAAAGACACCGACACCTCTCCCGCACAGCGAGGCTCTCTCGCGCTCACACTCCCGGCCTGTCCTCCCCCCTCACGCCAGGAGCGCTGCGAGATGTAAACAACCTCCCGGGACATCTGAGGGAGACAGAAGGAGGAGACGAGAGGGAGGGAAGCCCCCCCGCAGCCTCGCCACCTCGACAAAGGGACTCGCGGAGGGGCCCAACACGCCATACGGTCGCAACGCGCGCGCACACACACAGGCGCCCTCGCGGCAGAACTCGCACACCTCCGCGCGCGAGATGGGGGGGGGGAGCAAAGGCGCAGCTCGTTAAAAATGGTGAGGGGGGGGGTGGAGGAGGGCCGATAAGAGGGGATACGCTCGGGAAATCAGAACGGAACACAAGGTGACAAAGAGGAGGAGAAGAGGGGGGCAAAGTGTCGCTGGGAACAGGAATAAGTGGTGTGGGGGGGGGGGGGGGCGCAGGAGGAGACAGAAAACGGGCGACAAAACAGCTCGAGGCGGTAGCTGAGTGAAAGGAAACCGAAGCCAGCCTTCTGACTTTCATCAGCCTCGCTCAAAGCCACCCGTCCACCAGAAAGCCACACATTCTGGCTCTTTTCCGGGAGAAATAGCCGCGTTATTCCACAAGAATGCAGGCTCTTTTTAGGAATGACACAAACCTGCTTCACCACAACATGCGGGAAACAGATGGATAGAGCTATAAACGTTTTGGAACAAAAAGGCCTGTATGTCGCGTTTCTTTTCTTCAATGCATTTTCGAGCAAGAGCTCCATGTGCTCCACCATCACTACTATTTCACTAGCATCAGACACCGAGGGCTAACCTAATGAATCAGCATCCACAGTGCATCTGGTCATTTGGTCCACACACCTACCACTGTGGTCATGAGGGACCCATATTTAACCATGGTTCTGCACCCCCCTCAACATGTAGGCAGGCCCTCTGGGCCGAAGACAAGCCTACATCAATTTTTGAGAATGGTCAAGACCTTAGTCAGCGAAATGCCCCCAACACTTTGTAATGGGGCAGTAGCCTCCACTTCTGTATCTCACGAAATGCAGAGGGGGGGGGAATTACGACAATGTACAACTGGATCACACCTTTAGGGCACACGATGCATCCAGTTCACAGCACCAGTGGGATTCGTTACAAAAAGCCAGGGCATCAGCCAATGCGCCTGTTCAGCTCA